AATAATTTTATCAATTGGGTCAATCATAATTTCAACATCTTTATTGCAATAATGAATAAAATATTCTAATCTATTCTTAAAGTTTTTAGCATCATTGAGATATATTTGATAATCACTATCTGATATAGTTTCTTGGGTTAATGCTGAATAAAATGAATCTTTCGTGAATGGTTCCTCTTTATATAATTCTTCTTCGTAATTTTCCCACGTGATGAATTGATAAGGGAAAAAGGATTTAACACGTGATTTATTGTTTCCGAAATCTTGAGTGAATTGGTCTAATGTCCCACCCGCTATATAATTTCTGATGTCAATAAATCTCAATTCATATGGAACGTTTGTTTTCTTTACAATGATTTGCTTAAATTGTGAAGATGAACCCAGCATTGATTTTATTTTCCATTTTGCAGTGTTTAAATCACGAAGAATTAAATTCAAATCAAACTTTCCCGAATTAAAACCTATGATATTCACTTTATTGAATTCCTCATCTAGAAGTTCTTTAAATGCTTCCTTCTGTTTTTCATTTAATGTATGAGACAAAGTCCCCACCGTTTGCGGCTTCATTAATTCTTCATATTGTTCAATATTTGATTCAACAACTAATGAACAGGTTGAAAATAAAAACTCAATCCAATCAGAAATAAAAGAATCACTCGAAGTTAAGCAAAAATTCCTCGTATATGTTTTATCGTTTAATTTAACCGTTGATGATACCATGAATGGTTTTAAGTAAGCGTTCAAAGTTGCACACTCAGAAAGTTGTAATTCTTCTTTAGTCTCTAATGTTTCAAAGTCAAAAGTAATATAATATCTTGTTGGTTTATAATATTTCTGCAAATTGTGAGCTAATAACCACTGATATATCTTCTGTTTCGTAATATGTGGTGCATATGGTTGCTGTGTCTTTTGCAACTGAACGTCTTGAATTAATCTTCCATTATTTTCTTTACATTTCTCACAATGCTTTAAAAATCTTCTTTGGTTTTTCCTTTCTGGATCATCATGGATAGAATAAACTTCTTCTTTACAATATGGACAAACTTTATAGCCGGTGAGTGCTTCAACGTCTGTTATTCTGTCAGCGTGAAGTTTTCCACATGGACTCTGTGTTAATAAAATATTTACTGTTTCAAATTCTGGATCTATCGTTATTGATTCCACTAATGGAAAGTCTACCTTATTTATGTCCACGTCTTCTGGTTGAGGATCACAATAATAGAAATCAATATTAACATTTAACATTCTCGCTAATCTCTCACTTTCTGATGAAATATCAAACCCATCATATGCATCTATTGCTTCATTTAAATAGCTTCTACGAGTTTTAGGATTAACACCATCAGGAATGTTATAGAAGCGTTTAAATAACCTTCTACCTTCTGCTCTAATTTGATTATCATTCATTTTAGCTGTTCCGTTTTTGTTCATTTATGTAAGAATAAAAAATTAAAAAATAAATAAAAATAAAGTTTATTTTTTAAAGCCCATAAAATGAATTAAGAACACATAAATTTTTATCATCCGCGACGTGACGAATACATTTTAATTTACTCAAGAATGCATACCCCGATACATTAAATCTAATTCCTGTCTTATTTAATTTCACAACTTTGAAAAGGAATGTATGAATAGCTATAAAATGATGAGAAGATGTTTTATGGGTTGCTTCCATTTTTTCTGAAATAAATGAATAAATATAATGCTTATACGTTTTCATATCTTTTATATTCTTAATAACGAATGGTATAGACCTTTCAACCTCGTCTTCCTTCGGTGCTGTTCTTTCATATGAAACATTATTGGTATCTTCAATAATGAAACCACAATCACACAAAATTTTATAGGTTCCAATGGTTTCTTTTGATATTTTATCTAATAAATCAAAAACTTTATCAACACCCGTGCATTTATTTAAATAATAATTTGTGTAAATATCATGATCTTCTTTTCTTAATCGTATTAGTTGCATATGTCACGTTTTTAAGAGCTTTTTTGAATTTTTCGGAATCTAAAGGTGGTGAAAGTAGGATACAGGGGTATTCTTCATTATCAATAAATTGTAACTTATGTTTACGAATAAATTTAGTACCTTCTTCTGAAAGTGTTTCGTCTATTTCACCATCTAATAAATTTTGTGTTGATTCTGAGACATAATTTTTATATCTTTCTTCATGAGATTTCTGAACTTCTGATTCTGAAGCTGGGATATTCATTAAGCCCTCTACTTCATTTTCATTATATTTTTCAACTTCTCTTAATTCCTTAATTTTTTCATCTATTTCATCTCTTATTTTTTCAGTCTTTCAATTTCATTGTATTCATCATCTTTAATCCGTTCTTCATAATATTCAGGGAAAACATCAGGTTCTTTAGGTTTTTCTTCTTCAGATGTGGGATATAAGAAATTTATAACATCATCTTTATTCATTTTTCCATCATAATCTAAATCATTTAATAACTCCGCGAATTTTTTACAATTTCTTAAATAATATTTATCAACTTCATAACCCACCTCCTCTAATATATCCTTTATTTCCTCGTTTGTGAATCCTAATTTTTTAACATTGTTAGTTTTGACGCTCATTTCATACAAAATAAAAAAATAAAATAATAAACATAACTAAGTTTTAATTTTTCGTAAGACATGAATTTCTAAAGTTTATTTTTTAAAAATTTTTTTATTTTTTATTTCATTATGGTAGTGATGTTGCATGCTAAGATCAGTCATAATGTAAACCTCTCAATTTTATTGTCGTGGGAAGTATCTCAATTCCTTCAAAAAAATTGAAAAACTATTTAATTTTAAAAATATAATACTTTTAATTAGTTAATTAATTGGAGATATTTTTAAAAAATCACTTTTGATAATACTTTTGAGAACTTTAATTAAAAAAATATATTCAAAAATATCCAGGATATCAAGAGGGAATTGTTCCTTATGAGGTATATAGTTATGATGTATACCTCATAAGGAACAATTCCCTCGCTGAAGTGAGAAAACTTGTTCGCAATCATTTCGCGTTGCGAACAAGTTTTCTCACTTTTAGTAGGGAACTAAAGGCTATGAGGCACTGATTATATATTAGTGCCTCATAGCCTTTAGTTCCTAATAGATAGCTGGGGAACTTTCTCCAAATGATAAGTTATTCAGAGAAAGTTTCCCAGCTATCAAGAGGGAATTGTTCCTTATGAGGTATATCGTTATGATGTATACCTCATAAGGAACAATTCCCTCCTTAAAATCGTAGACATTTTTATACTTATTAATCAACCATTCAAAATCATATTCCTCTGAAAAGTTATTTTATTAAAAATTTAGAATTTTAATAAATATAGAGTTTGAATTTCATACAATACCTATATATTTTCAATAATGGAATTTGAAAACCATTCTCAAAAGTTCTCAGAAAACCTTTTTTTCATTAATTTTAAGAAATCTGAGTACTAAATTAAGTGATAAATTCGTTTGACACTACTTTAATTTTTAAATTCAAAAAATTATATGTGCTTCTTAAAATGACTCAAAAAAATTTTATTATAAAATAATATATAATATTAAAAATCCCACAACATTTTTTTACTTTACATAATCGTACTTCCTCGACGATTAATTTCCACTCAATTTCTATCGTTGACCGAACTTAGCATGCAACAGTGAATCTTTTATTCATGAAAATAATTATTTCTAATTTCTTTTACTCTCTCGTACATACTAGATTTGAAGAATTCGGAACATTTCCCATAATCTCCTAAATGTTTTCTTATCCCTAACGTGTGCCAGTTATTATATGAAACTGAATAAACTTTATCTTTATCTTTACACCCTTCATCACTTCCAATATATTTATATCTCAGTTTTGATTTAGCATTTTCATATTCATTAGCGTTTAATAATTCACAGTCTTCCTTTTTAAATTGATGTTTAAGATATTCAGGATTTAATACTCTACGTTTATATGCTCCTAACTTAGTTCTAAAGGTTTTTCTACAAAATTTAGGAATTCCATCCTCTTTAATGTCATCAATGATTTCCATTTCATTATTTTCAATTTCTTCTTCTCGTTTATGAGGTCTTTGATTATGACTCCATTGATTCCATGAAATTAAATATTCTTTATCATTATATTTATACCTCATTAGCTTATTTTGGCTTTCATATTCATTTAATAATTCACAATCTTCATTTTTAAATTGAAGTTTAACCCATTCAGGATTTAAACAATGTTTAATTAATCGCGGAATATCTGACATCATCTATATATAGCTTCTTTTATAAAAGATAAAAAATAAATTATTTTAAAATTAATGTTAATTTTTTAATGATTTATAAATAAATATATTTTAATGCATCGTCTATATATAGATGTAACAAAAAAAGTCACACAACCCGTCCTATCATACTACTCATACTACTCTGATTTCTACTCATGTTTATTGGTGTGGAAGCATACACATGAATAATCGATGTTTTTATACCATTATTTAAGAATGTAGATACAATATCTCTTGAAAAAATTGAATTATCTCGTTTTTTGACAAATAAGATATCCATGTAAGCTGACAAATATTCATTAAATCAATTTCAAACCATTTTAAACTATTTTCCACCTCAAATTTAATCTCAGATTTAAATCTAACAAGTCAACAAGGTTTGAAATTTTTACATTTATACCTGTTGTGAATATTTTCTTATCATGCAAGATGATTAGTTCCGAATAAATTCATGGCGTATTTATTACATTGCTGCAAATCCATTAAACTTGGATGTATCCAAAGAACATTAACACTTTACATCATTTGATCTTACGAACAATGATAGAAACTATAGTATATCAAAAGATAAAAATCTTAATCGCCAGAAAACTTGTTTTCACTCCTCCTCAAGAATAAGCCTCTTTATTTTCGAAGTACAGAATATTGATGGCATGCACTTTATGCAATAAGTAACAGAAAATGTCTCCAAGAGAAAAATTTTGTAAAGTGTCAAATTGTCAAAAATGGAAGATGATCCTTTTTTTGCTCCAATCAGCAACACAAATGATCTGAAGCCTGTAGTTGCGAAAAATTCACTGAAAGATGATAAACCAAAGTCTTCGAAGAGTTTAACACCACAAAAATCAGATAACTCAAAATTCAAAGAAAAAGATTCTCGTAAAAATGACAGAAAACATCGCGAACCTAAAGAACATGAAAAAATGCATTCAAAGAGAGATAGAAGTCCAGAAAGACGTGAATCTCGAGATGACAGAAGAGATCGAGTTGAAAGGCCACCACCACCACGCCATCATGATCACAAATATACAGATCCTAGAGCTAGACTTCCATCTATGCTCAATGATATCGCTTTTCCAAAACCTTTAACTATTAATCCAGATGCTCCACCAAACTCATACAAAATTTTCAACCAACAAGTACCTGAAATACCAAAACTTGCAGAACTTTATGATTGATTCTATTTGTTTATTAATTTTTATAAATTATAGAGATTATTATAATTTTTTAGAGCCTATTACATAAGCGTCAATTTTCTATTGCATCAAAAAACTTCTCATACTGTTATATTGAAAAAATTTCGATTAATAATGAAAATAATTTTCATAATATTTAGAATTACGAACAAATCTATAAAAATAATAACATATAAGCTATAGTGATATTCAGTATCATTGAATCAGTCACTACTCAAAAGGAAATGGAGGAAATGCGCCTTCTTTTTTGAGAACAAACTTTTTCTGGATATCAGAAATAGAAGCATAAACGTAGTGATTTGAAATTAAGTTAGCAAGTACATATTCGGCCTCATCCAAAGAAACATTGTCAAATACGCAAATTGCCTTTTGAAAAGCTTCAAGAGTTTGTATCTGTGTACCAGGAGGACAAACAGCTTCCAGTATTCTACGATAAACTACTAATTTGGCCTTCGAAATTACATCCCAAATTCCAAGTCGAATAAAGATCATTGTCCTCTGTTCAAATGCTTGGTTGAATTCTCTTACATCAGCATTTATAATTGAATCAACAATTGGACCGAACAAATCATTGAGTTCGTATTTATTTAATAAATCTGTTGAAGGAATCATTCCAAAGGACAATTGTACAGGAATCAAAACAGTAAGGATAAGTCTTCTATCTGACATACAAGATAAAGGTGTAAGTCGTAAAGCTTCATTTAAAAATTTTAAGGCTGTTTGTGTGTATCCAAAGACAGCATTGATCTTTCCTGCATTGAAATCAAATTGTGCGCGTTCTGAAACAGTAAAAACATTGGATTCTTCAAGTAGAGAAATGTTATCAACATTTGTTTCGAAAACTTTGTAGGCTTGATTATAATCATTCAATGAAATGAAGATAGAAAGTAAACAGTTAACTAATGCGAGTAATGGGGATCCATCTACTGCATTGCAATTTCGAATTTTTGCTGCTTCACTGAGTAAATATCTTAATTTTTGAACACTAGATTCAAGTTCATTAGCGGAAAGATATTTGTATGATAAAACAATCGATTTGAAAATAGGAACTTTAAGCTGGTTCTCGAATTTTGACATTGATTTAACAAATAACATTGATGCTTGATCAAAAAGAGAATATTGCTCTTGCGATGAAGTAGTTTTGCAGATTTTAAGCAATGGTGAAAAGATTTCTTTCCATGGAGGACTATTTTTTAATGAATTTAAATTTTTTGCAATAGATTCGCATGTTTCCTTTTCATTTATCAAGTATTCGATCTTAAAATACTTAGAAAGTGAATATCCGTCGGAATTCTCAATCTGTTTTACAATCTGAGAAATCGACATTTTTTGCAAAAAAAAAAAGAAAAAAAAACATTGGAATGGCAACCAAAGGAACTTTGTATTGGATCCCTACTAAGGAATGATTAAAGGTACAGGGAGAGCTAATTTATGATAGTTCATAGAGATGCACAAAGACTTACAACTTATTTCAGGAGGAATTACAACTTTTTATTTCAGTTGCCTAGCAAAATTTTCGGATTGTTAAATGAAGGTCCATATTTTTAACATGAAAAAAGACGAGTAAATTAATTCAATATTCTCACAAAAAAAAAATTTTTTTTGAATAGATTTTTATTTTGACGAATGACCGTTTTGAATGTGAATGAATCATTCGTCATCAAGCGGTCATGCAGGCATTAGTTCTGCAATTGTATAAGATAAAAGTACAACATGAATCCTCTAGAAGAGGTTTTAATTCAAAAATTCTTTTACTCCAATTTTATTTTTCAACCGAATACAAGGTCTGACCTTGGAACCAATCTTGCATTCGAGAGTTTATTAGATTCCTCATCTGAAATCAGATGTTTTTTAAAAATTCGGCGATTTAAGTTTCATTTTAGTTCTTAGTTGCTTAAATTCAATATCCGAGCCTAGAACTTAAATTACCTCACGATATGTAGCTTATCCCCCCGTTCAGCTTTTCTTTGAACGGACAATTCAGCCATTTTACTTTATTTTTGATTTTATATAGCATATACCACAATTTTATGCAAAAGAACATACACCCTAATCCACGAATATGACAATCCAAATATTATTTTTACAGAAAATCAACGACAACAAAAAAGAATCAAATTTTATAGAAAAACATTTATTCGACACAAGATACAGATATAACCACTAACTCTATCGATAGTTTTACACATTACGGGACCTCCAATCCCAAACTAACCCATCCTTCTCTCAGATTATGAGCTCGAGCAAAAATTTCCAAGTACATTCTTCCAGGAAACATTTTCTCCAAGATCTCATACAGCTTCTCAGGCTTCTGGCTCTTTCCGACAAGATAATATCCGAATATGCGTCGAGATTCGCTCCATCGATGGGTTTTCCCTTTACGCCGATGATAAATGTCTCCTTACAATGCTGCAGGAAGTATCCATTCGATGGAGAATACCTTCCAAATTTAGATATTTTTACCCAGTTCCCGAAAGAGACAATACTGTATCCCCATGTCTTCATCATCTTAATACCAGTAGACAGCATCGACGCGACCACCCACATTAAGCAGTATCCGTTGTCTTGAACCAATTTTAAGGGCATTTTCTCAATTCTCGCGGCTTCAAGTAGATTATAATCCAAGCTGACACCTCTTGTGACTTGTCCCGGCTGAATCATCCACGGAGGATCCATAATTATTACATCGAATTTACATCTCGAGCCAAGAGCCTTCCAATCAAACATAGTAATATCAGCGCGTATAGATATACTGTTCTCTATGCGTTCATCGTATGGAGGAATGACAACAAAGTCGTTATTCAATCCTTCGAAATCCATTTGTATTTCTAGCTCTTTATTGACCCTATCGAGCTCTCCGTGAAGTTGTTCGTCGGTCATTTCCGCTATTTCACTATTAGTAAACTTGATTACTTCGCTCTCAATATTCAAAAGAGATAAAAAGTTTTCAGGTTTAGTTTCATGGGGCATTAATGTATTTATTCCCTTCTGATCCTTCAAAAACAGCTTTCCAAGTTCGTATTTATTCTTAATAAGATCTTCAAATTTTATAAAACGACAAGGATTACCATCTGGATCAAATTTCGTTCGAGGATCGTTTTCTGACATATACTGAGACTTAATCGCTTCGATCGGAATCTCCCTTCTGTATTTTACTTCCCCATTTTTGCGATACTTAGAATATTTCCCAGAATATTTATATGAATAGCAACATCCGGTGAATTCATCGGAATCATCGTCCCCTATGTCATCGGAATCTTCCATCCAATCAGCATAGGGAACACAAGCTATGCCTCTGCTACTCATTGCTTTAATTTTTTCAATTAAAATTCAATTTTTTTCCACTTAAATTTTATTAGAAATATCTATTTTATTGAATCATTCCTTCTCTTTTTGTTCAAAAATTTTTCTTCTCAAAATAGTAGTCAGAAAAAAAATCAATATAAACAAATGAGTCTGATCTTCTAACTTTATTTCCTTATCGTTTTTTTCACTCAAAAGTCACAATTGAATTGATATGAAATCTCGTCTAATAAATTGAAAAGTAAATCACACACGGTCATTAATGGCACATCCCAAATAAGTAAATAAGCCTATCAATCTTTTCAATTCTTCAAGATTTGGTTAATATATAAAACGATGTGAGTCGATAGATGCATGGTAGAGGTAAAATTTTGATAAAATATCAATATAAAATAGGATACTAAACATTCTGAAGATAAAATATAACATATAGGATCTGTATAATGCGATTTCATATACGTTGGTGAGCTACAATAAGTGAGCGTAACCAGAATATCAAGTTATTCAAAAATATAACGACAAAATCATGAAGAATATATATGTATTTGACGACTCGTAATAAATATTTGTATTTTTGAAAAAGGAACATGGAATAGTTTACTCCTGTGTCTGGGAAGCATCCTTTCCCTTCTTTGGATTGCCGAGGAGGACCTTATGGATGTGTGGAACAACACCTGCAGAGGCGATTGTAATGTTGGAGAGGAGCTGGTTCAATTCTTCATCGTTACGAACAGCGAGCATGATGTGGCGTGGGGAAATACGTGTCTTCTTGTTATCACGAGCAGCGTTACCGGCAAGTTCGAGAACTTCGACAGTAAGATACTCAAGAACAGCGGCCATGAAGACTGGAGCACCAGCACCGACACGCTCACCATAACGGCCTTCACGGAGGAATCTGTGAAGACGACCGACTGGGAACTGAAGACCGGCACGGGATGAACGTGTCTTTGGATGTTGGCGTTCACCATCAACGGCTGTCTTTGTTGCTGTCTTCTTAACACCTTTCTTGGCTGGCATTATCAACTAATGAACTGAAATCAAAAGCCCGCCATAAATTCAATTTGCTAATTGGAATTTTTGGGACCTAAATTGGCACTCATTCAATTTATTTTCGACATTTTAGACCAGCCGATTTTCGTAGGACAGTTTCAAGATTTTTGATCATGCAATATATATTATCAGTGATTATTGAAGATTTTATTTTTGTTCTTTTTCTGAATAAAGATTCAATTTGATTTTAATATATTGAAATTCATGGGCTGTATGAGTAATAGTATTCATGACAAGGATGTAATAAAACAATATTATGCGTTGTGATTAGCTTAATTAATAATTTTTTTGATTTTTTTTTAAATTTTGATTTGGGATTAAAACAAAATTAGATCAATGAAAAAAGTTAGTATATAATATATTTTAGTAGGCATAAAAAACAATATCTTAGATTTCGAAAAAATTATTTGGAATATTTCTTAAACAATTCAATAATTTGAGGATCCTTAAATGCTTTTGCCAAATCTAAGGCTGTCTTTCCATGCTCGTTCTTTATATCTGCTTTTGCTCCGTTGGATAACAAAAATTCAATAACTGGAGGCAGAGCTCGTTTTGAGTCAGGCATCAGCTCCAGAAGGAGTGTTGTTCCATCTTTATCACGTGCGTTCAGGTCCAAACCTTTTTCAGTAAGATATTCCAGTAATTGGACAACAAGTTCGGGACTTGGAGCGTTTATTGTGTTGAATGTTGCTGGTCTGTTCTTGGCATCCAAAGCAAAGATGTTTGCTCCGCTATCGACCAAAAACTTTAACATTTCAAGATTTCCTTTATCACAAGCTAAATGAACAGGTGTTGAACCACTTTGGAATTCTCTGCAGTCAACTGATGCACCGTGTTTAACCAAAGTCTGTACAATTGGCAAAGAATTTCTTCTTATTGCTAATAAAAGAGCAGTATTGCCTTTTGAGTTTACAAAGTTGGGATCGCCATTAAATTCGAGTAATGGCTCAATAGAATCGTCTACATAGTTAGCAATGGCTTGCATAAGAGGAGATAAATCTCCATCTAAATATGTAGAAGTCTTGTAAGCGTGATTAAGTAATATGAGTAAGCAGCTCATGCTTTTCGTTTTAATTGCTCTTGCTATAGGTGATTCTTTGAGGATTTCTTTCGGATATTCTGCTCCGTACTCGAATAAGAGCTTAAGAATTTCTGGACCTTCTGGAGATACGGCAAGGTAGAGACAGCTGTGAAGTCTTTCGTTCGGTAGTAACTTAAAATCTGCTTTATTTTCAAGTAAATAAAGAGCTGATTCATATGAACCAGAAGCACAAGCATACATCAATGGTGTATATCCATCGCGAGTTTTAACATCAACATCAAGTCCAAGTTCGATCAAAGCAATAATACATTCGAGGGAATCGTAGTAAGCTGCAACATGAAGTAATGTTAGCTGTTGTGTTGGAACATTTAAGAGCACTAAATCTTGTATTGTATCTTTTTGAGATTGATTAGGCCGCAAATTATAATAATCAACAGTAAGGAATTTCTGATTTGCTTCAATGGCCTTTCGGAGCTTCTCAGAATCGTTCATAGCAATTCTTTCAACAAGGATTTCTTGGAGCCTGTCTGGGTAATTCATTTAAAAATGTCATTTTTTGGGAGGATCTTCACTTTTAAAACTTAAAATTCTTCAATATTTTTGCTAATAATCAAATTCTCTCCAAAAAATCATTGAATCAAGTTAAATATAAACGTGAAATTCATTCTAAAATACATCTTGTCTAATAATTCATTATCAGTTTTTGAGGAATCGCAAAGTCAAAAATTTAAAAATAATAATATTGGTAATAATTAATAAAAACCAATAATTTTAATAAATCGAAATGTCGTTTGGATTCAGAAAATCGTTTAAAATGTAAAATGTATTGCAAATAACAATCATTTTGAATATATTGTAAAAAAAAGTTATGACTATGGACATAAGAAAACAACCATGTTTATTACTTTACAAATCCTGTGGATTGTTCAACATTCTCACAGAACTATACGGCATGATTTGATATGGTTAATTTGAATTCAGTAAAATATGAATTCATGACATATTAGTATTAAGTAATTGTGATGATAAAACAATTTTTAATAACGCATTGCTGTTCTGGTATTTTTTTGATATGAAATTTGTTTTGGAGAGTAAATTGGGTTCAATCAAAGCTCTAAAAGTTAGATTTGATCCGAATTAAATTCTGTTCTTCTATTTCCATTTCTTCTAATTTTCTTTTATATGAGGGAATATCTTTATATTGCAATTGTAATTGCTGATTTTCTTCAGCTACCTTATCAATCTCGTCGCGATAGTTTCTTGACATTTGCTCGAGTTTGTGACATAATTCCTCAAATTCTTTTTCTTCTGCTGTTTGCTGAACTTTCTGAAGTTCCCAAAATTTCTTTGCTTCTTCTTTATACAAAGCTTCATAATTTGTCTCAAGATTCGGAAGAGATGTTGTGAATTGAGATTGGTTTTTCATTATAATAACGTTTATTAATTCGTTTTTCGATGAATACAAGATATCAAGTCTATTTAATATAGACAACATAAAAGACTTCAATCATGTGCATAGAAAATAAATTACTAGCTTGAATATAAAGAAATTATCTGATAAGATTTTTAACATTTTTTTGAGTTTCTTTGCTTTCGCTGCATAGGGCCAATAAATTACTTAGTTATAGAATAAAGAACATGAATTTGAACTGTTAAATTAAAAATTAATGTAGCTATTTTTTGAAATTGAAGAAAAAATTGGCGTAACACGCAAATTTCAAAGAAATTATGGCTTTTAAATTTTTTAGTATAATGATATTCAGCAATAAAAGTAACTGACTTTTGAATCAAATGCACGTTTAAAAATAATGACTTCAGAAGCCCCTACACATCCTAGAGTTCATATTAAGTCATGGAAATGCGTTGCTTCATGGAAATGGGATGTTGCTGAAGAAAATGGGTGCAGCATTTGTAACACAGAATTTGAAATGGCTGCTCCTGGAATTAAATTTCCTGGAGATGACTCCCCAATTGTTTTAGGACGATGCGGTCATGCATTTCATTTGCAATGTATTGAAAAATGGATATACAGACCTGGATCAACAGGTACATGTCCAATTTGTCGACGACCATTCGAATTCAAGAATTAACATAGATTCATATCATTGCTTTTTAGTCATACCAAATAATGCCATTACTTAACATTTCTTGTTTTTGCGAATAGAACTTTATTTTATTTAAGTTAACAACAAATGCGCCAAATACGAGATTATCCCTCATGCAATTAACAATTAATAGATTTGTTTTTAAATAGTATATATATACATATATATTAAGAATGTTACTAATATCTACAATAAATCAGCATCCCATATTTATATATTTTATGATCTAATTTTGATAGTTTTCGTTCAGGGATTTTAATCATATTTATGCCTAAATTCAATTTTTTTAAATATAATAAGCTTATTGATGAATCTCATATTGATTTCGACTTTGGTATTGTAATTGTGTTATTTCATATTGATTAACTTAATCAAAATTCATAAATTATATCCAATTTCTTTGTGATCATTGTTTTCCACATATCTGGAATTGATTTTTTTCTTCTAGTGAATTTCAAAGGTAATTGTAATGATAGTTGGCAAATATATAACTATCTTGATCAAGAATTTTAATTATACAATAGTTTGACCGGAAATCTAGTGAGCATCTCAGCACCTTAAAATGATACAAATCTTATTCCTTTTTCCCTAATTATCTTTACTAATAATAGGCAATTGTATCATATGGAATGATGAATGAAATATAGGTATAGGATGAAAAAATAATAATGTAATTTTATAAAAAATAATTTGATTAGAACTTGTAATGACAGAGATTTCATGAACAAACAACAAGTGCTATATAACCTACATGTTATGATGTATTTAATGCAATATTAATTATTGCTTTATTTCACCTGTTAATAACTAACTATTTTCACATATTATGCAGCTGCATGTAAAAATGTAAACTCAAATCTTATAAACAAAACATCATTCAATTTCATCAATACCAATTCAAATAATGATACAGTGTATTTTTTTTTTAAACTTAAGAAAAAAGCTCTTGCTTTAGTTATGCAGGTTTCTCATGATTCAGAAAATCTCGATATTCATATCGAAAATACAATTTACAGCGCAATTATGTATAATGACTTAGAAAAATTCATTTCATTTACAGGAAGAGAAGGCTTTGATGAAGATCAAATGCTTAAAATTAATTTATATTCACAAGATATATCCGCATACTCATTTAGATCAAACTAATGATGCTAACAAATGCTTTATTAATTTATCATTTTTTAATATCCAATCACTTTGTGAATATTCCCTTTCATATGCTATAAATATCAATTAAAAAGATAATTATGGAAAAACTGCTCTTCATTTTGCAGCGCTTCATAATAGTAAAGAAACAGGAGAACTTCATCTTTCATCAAAAATATTTATAAAGAAACATCCGAAGTTCTTAAGAAAGCTGCGTGTTTAATGTAATATAGATAAAGGAAATTAAGTATTAAGTGAATTGTTTTGTTCTTTCAAATGGTAAAGAAATGAAAATTTTGATCAATGAAAAATTTTATATTTTGAGAACTTTACAATTTTTCATTCTACAAGAAAAATGCCAAACAAAGTTATCTTTCTTGGAGATGCAGGCGTAGGTAAAACTAAAGTTATCCAAAGATATATTTGCGGAAAGTTTGATAACGTAACAAAACCAACTCTTGTTATGGATAATGCATCTATTTCAGTACGCGTTGATAACCAAAATGTTCCCCTAGAAGTCTGGGATACAGCTGGACAAGAAGCTTATCGATCTATTGTTCTTACATATCTCAGAAATGTATCACTTGCAGTATTAATGTTCGATGTTTCAAACAATGTCACATTTACGAACGTAGATGAATGGTATAAATTAATTCGAGCACATTCTACTCCGGATTGCCCAATAATATTAGTTGGAAATAAATATGATTTATTCAAAGATCAAATTAACCTAGAGGATGTAGAAGTATGGATTACAGATCATAATGCAAAACTAGCATATACTTCGGCTCTTAGTGGTGAAGGTATTAATGAACTATTTCATGAAATAGCATCAACAATTTTAGATTCAACAATTCAAGAAGCAGCATCATATAACATCAAAGTAACAGACAACAAAAATAAAGGAAATTCAGACTGCTCATGCTAGTTTTTATATGATAATTTTGATTTAATAATTATTCTAATAAGAATGATTGGATATTTTATGCGATTGTATTTATTATTATTTCTTGTTATAAATTTGACTTATACGCTTATTTTTGATTTTGTATTCGAATTAACTACATGTACCATTCTTCGGAGCGTAAAAATGTATTTCTTACATTAATTATTGAACAATAAAATCAAAATTGAGCCAAAACTTAAAAAACTTCACAATTTTTTTCTTTATTTAAATGAGAATATCAATAAAAAGTTTAACCTTATACATATTTATCTATTGACTTACATTGGCATTGCTTCCAAGAGTTACGATATTATTTTCTAGAAACAGAATAACACCTAACAAAAATGAGAGCATATAAAGCATAAGATATACTGAGAAACATGATCAAAATTTTAACCATAGTGCTTAAGAAGTATCATACTCTTGAGAAATATTTAGATTCTATAAAAATCATACCAATATTGAGTAACTTGGTATTATTCTGTTAGTTTTCGATTACCCTACAAAATTCTATATATCAATACACATCAAATCAAATTTAAACATTTACGATTTTTGACATGAAAAGGTGACTTTTGGTCTGACATTTCTGTCCCTTCCCTGGAAGATGAGCGGTCTCATCTTACTTCTGTACGGGACAAATACATTGGTTGGCTGCATGGGTCAAGCATAGTGCGTAGCCTCTTTCTACCTTCCAACAAATCATTTACAAACTCAAGATTTTTTTTTTCATTTATTTTATATTCAAACAGTATATTAGTTTGAAATAACAAACTTACAAGATACATTCATCATTTCTGCCTTTATAGCAATTTAGTTTTTTTTCTTTGATTTATCAATTTTTATAAGATGTTTTGAAACCAATTACGTATTTGCAATTAAAAATTCTCATTTACCTTTTGGCTTTTTATTGTAACCGAGCCCGACTTTTTCTTGTTTTGAGATATATTTGATTAACTTTAAAAGAATTCATCCAAATCTCTATATAAGTTTGCTTTTGTTTCGAAGTAATTTGCTTTCTGAATTAAAAGTTTCCATCTAATACTCTGATCAAATCACAAATTTATAAATAATGATTTGATTGAAAAATCATTACAATAGAACGGTGTACTTTTCTACAATAAAAGACTGATATTTTTTTCATTGAATTTTAGTTTCTACGAATAAAAACAAGAATGTGATTCTGATTAACCAACTTATTATTTTGTATTTCTTGAAACAAATCAAATACAACATGTCGTATCAATTACAGAAGTAATAATAATGAGTATATTAATTTTTATTGTTTGATAACTATATGAAATATTTAAATAATTTTAATATAGTGACCACATAACTTCCTGCTTATAGGGAAAGACTCCAAAATGGGTTCTGTTCTCAGAACATATGTTCACTGATAAAGGATACATAAGAATCGTCTCCGAAATCGATGAAAGATGGATCCATCAAGTGAAGAATACTTTGAGCCAAGAAGTTTGCAAACTTATATCAGAAATACGCTAAAAAGCAAGGGAATTTAGAGATGCAAAATTGGTAGATAGTGTGAGTTTAGGAAGATAAGTTTTAGAGTGATTTTGGAAGTTCATTTTTTAAGGGTGATGGAAAGTGATGTGACTCGATTTCTAGTATTGCTCATAACTTCATTTTTTAAGGTTTATATTCATATAAATAAATCAAAATAAAAATGATTTTATGAGTTTGAAAAGCGACGTTTTTATAATAGCTTTCACTTCACTTTCCGGCACCCTTGAGGGTACATGATTTGGACGAAGAACTAATTAAAAGTTCGCAGATTTTTTTATAACTCTCTGTTGTTGCATAATCAAGAGCGGTTTTTCCATCTTTATCTTTTTCATTGATATTTGCACCATGTGAAATAAGAAGCTCGGCCGTTTCTGTACTATTTCTTAATGCTGCAATATGAAGAGGGGTTTTTCCATCTTTATCTTTTTCGTTGATATTTGCACCATGTGAAATAAGAAGCTCGGCCGTTTCTGTACTATTTCTTAATGCTGCAATATGAAGAGGGTTTTTCCAGTCTTTATCTTTTTCGTTGATATTTGCACCATGTGAAATAAGAAGCTCGGCCGTTTCTGTACTATTTCTTAATGCTGCAATATGAAGAGGGTTTTTCCAGTCTTTATCTTTTTCGTTGATATTTGCACCATGTGAAATAAGAAGCTCGGCCGTTTCTGTACTATTTCTTAATGCTGCAATATGAAGAGGGGTTTTTCCGTCTTTATCTTTTTCGTTGATATTTGCACCATGTGAAATAAGAAGCTCGGTTATTTCTGTAGTATAATTATTGGCTGCAATATGAAGAGGGGTTTTCCAGTCTTTATCTTTTTCGTTGATATTTGCACCATGTGAAATAAGAATTTCGGCTATTTCTGCACTGTAATATTCTGCTACAATATGAAGAGGGGTTTTCCCATCTTCATCTTTTTCATTGATATTTGCACCATGTGAAACAAGAAGTTCGGTTATTTCTGTACTATCATTTTCTGCGTCAATATGAAGAGGGGTTCTCCCATCTTCATCTTTTTCATTGATATTTATACCATGTAAAATAAGAAATTCAGCTGAATCTTTACTATTATAAAATACTGCATGATGAAGAGCGGTATTTCCATCTTCATCTTTTTGATTGATATTCGTACCATGTGAAAGGAAATATTCGCAAAGTGATGGAATATTAAATATTGCCGAATAAACAAAGCATTTGTTAACATCATTAGTTTGATCAAAATAAACCAAAATGGATTCAAGATTATTAAATTCTCCACAGTATTCTAAATCGATCTCTAAATCATATTCATTCATCAAGAATGTTACAAAATCAATGTCGTGTGAAATAATTGCATGTCTCATACATTCATCATCTGGTTCTTTATATTTCAAACATTCACTCATGATCTCTGGATTTCCTCCTAAAAATGATAATTCTAAACATGTTTGAGTTATTTTTGAGTTAAATTTCGTTCTTAAGAACTTGAAACAATCAACAGCTCCATGATAACAACATAATTCAAGTAATGAATATCCTTTGTAAGAGTCTGGATATAAATCACTTTTAAGTTTTTGATCTTTATCAAATTCTTCTCTTTATCAGACATTAAAAAATTTAAGGGTTCTGACCGACCACTTATCTCCTCTCAAAATTTTCAATTTCGGTGGCTCATATCTTGGAGAATATTAGACTTCAGCCTAAACGCCTGGTACGTCTTTCCAACCTATAAGTGATAGTATTTAAAAATACCTCAAAGTGAGGTCTTTATCAATGACCATTTTTGCCTTGCTTTTTCCAATTTTTTTTTCGATTTTTTCAGATTTTTTCATCATGCAAATTGAGTGAAAAAATTTATGAATATTCGATAGAAATTTTGTACACATATTCTAGGATCAATACCTATGCATGTTTTATCACCAAATACATTAAAAAATTCTTGACACGCAAACTTTACGTGTCAGAGTGAGGTTGATAGAAAAAATTGAGAGGGAGGCAAAAATTGGAATTATTAAAAAATTTTATAATAATTTTCTCTGCAATTTAACAGAGATTACCATTTCAACATTCATTTTTTCATAACCCACAATTTTTGAAATTATTATAACCAATTCGCAAAATTGACCAGTTATCATTAGGTATTATGTTTGCAATTCCAAAATATTTGAAGACCCACTGTATATATTCCTCCTAAGTTCTTTCAATTACATTGAAATGGAGGAAAATGTAGAAGTTTAAAACATAGTATTAAAATTAGATGAGATGTATCCTAATTAATTTCGTTTCACATTTCATTTTTCAAGTTTTTGTTGTATCAGATTCAAATTCAAATTCCAAGAAGTTTTTTTATCAGGTTTATTCTTTTAGTTATAAAATTCATATACAGTACCCTCATGGAGCATTAGTTATATATTGAAATCTGTCATGTGTGATATCGACATAGTCGACGAAATGAAAAACGATATTGTTCGTCAGTTTTTTTATTTTCGAAATTGATAGAAAAATTATTATATATTCTTTAGGGCTTATAAACAATGTAACATTTTATATAAAACTTTTTTTTGACAAATAAGCTTCAGAATTTTTTTAAATTCGATTAAGTGTGAACTTGAGCCATCAAAATAATTCTAGCTCATTTTCGGATTCGAAATAAAAATTTGTCATTACACATTTTTGATATAAAAACGTGACAATTATTCATGTCAACTTTAAGACCATCTTCAAACGATGTTCTCATATCTTTATTTCCAAAGATAGAGGATTCGCTTACAAGCATGTTTTTGAAATTTACTCTTGAATGCGATCCTTACTTTGACAAGAAAGATATGAAATTAAATCTTCCCAACGATTTCTTGAATAATCTCACTGCAAGATTTCCAAGAGTAATCTATGGATACAAAATTGCTGTCGAGCGCTATGTTTCTTTCGGCCAATATGCTCCTCAGCAAGCAATTGAACTTTTACTCACCTTTTTACCCAAATCAAAGAACAATGAATTATTCCGCAAGTTCGTAAACAAAATAAGAAGTTACGGCCAGTATTCAGATATATTCGATGATGTAGTTTTACTTTTTGTTGCTGATTGCATTGCACAGCTTCTATCAATTAGCGATGATGTCTCTTGCTGGGAAACACTTATTCAACTCGCACACCCGTTACTCACTCCTTGCAATGATCCAATTTGTGAACATCTTCGTTTATTATTGATTAACCAATTTTCTGTCATTTACAGCTTCATTTCGATAAAGCATCTTGATACATTATTCAAGGGATTTCAGAATGCATTAAGCCGAGATATTCCTTCCGCTTTACTTCTCAATAAATTCTTAAGACTCGTTCCTTCTCCAACGATTACCATTGCTATGATCGAAGAATTCCTTGCCGAGCTCTTCGCTATTACAAAGAATTTTCCAAAGAAGGCTTCCCCCGCTGAAATTGTTTGGGCTCAGTCATTAACTTACCTTATAGCCCAAATCAAGACGGAAGGTCTCCCATCGATGGCAGCATCCCTTACGAATATCTACAATTACGTTACAGGCCGTATGAAAGATAATGAACCCTTGATTTATCATTATCGTTTGGCCGCAATTATTTTGATGCGCGATAACGCTCTCCTTAACTCGAAATACAAGGAATTCATTAATAAATACATAGTCGATAAGGTTAAAAAGAACCCAGAATGCGCATTAAACGCTTTCCTCTTAATTCTTCGCGGAAACTGGTTCTCCAGGTCATCGCTCTTCTGGGAATGGGGCTCTTTCCACCACAACCATCGCCAGGGAATAGAGGCCACTCATCTTTATGAACCAACGCAAGAGCAGAGGAACAATCCGGACTCATTTACGGAGTTGTTCTTCAAGACATTTGCTGGAACACCAGGAATTGAGCAATACTCCAAAGTTTTATCTGAGATATTAATCAATTTAGCGGCTCGCGACTTCATTTTCTTCTCAAGAGAAACAGTTCCGAGGTTCATGATCGCTCTTGGTCCGAAATGCATCTTCCCGCTCTCTGAATGCTTATTACAAATTTCGGCTCCAGAATATCACTTCGAAGAGTGGATTTCCGACATGCCACTGAACTCAGGTGTAAAGATCGAGCTCGAAATCAAGACACTTTTCAACTCAATTAAGTCACAGTTGTTCCAATTAGTAGATCAGCTTCAGCAAATCGAACCGGGCAACACGGCCTACTGGTTCGACCTCAAAGGATCATTCAGCGCTCCAGTTTTCGAATTACCTCTCAAAACTCAACCAATTTCTTCGAATATGACTTACAGAATTACCGAAGCTACAAATACAGTCTCCAGTATTATTAATACCTGGAAATTCAACGAAGATGCTGCAGAACTTACGTTGAAATTCGAATCAGTTCAAATCGAGAACATTTCTTACCTTGAACAGATTTATGTCATCGTTTTAACCTTCTATCCACACATCATTACATACGGAGACCTTGTTACTCCTTCTTTCTCAGATCGTCTGAAGAATTATATTCTTTCCAAGTCTAAAGCCGTTTCTATGTTCGCAATCGACATGCTTGACCACTTATACGCGGCAAACTCCGCATTCAGGCTTGCCATTTTGAACTTAGTTCTGTCATGGCTTCCAGATCTTTATTCTCCAGAGCATATCTTCATTATTCTTGAATTATTCGTCAAGTTGTTCGATCTCTCATTACGTCCGGCCGCTCCTCCGAAGCCAGGACAAGACGGAACAGCTGTTGAAGAATGTCCATCGAATTTGATCCAGGAATTCACAGATACAGCTCAAGCAACATTGATATACTTGCTCGCAATGCCATGCCCAGAACTCAGAGACCTCTGCGTTTGCGCAATTGAGAGACTTTCCAAATTTGCCAATTCTCTCAAGACAACATCACCTCTTGAGCATATCCTTACCGATTTGGACCTCCCAATAAGCAACGCTGTAGCTTACAAAGTCTCAATTTACGATTCAAACATTCTTCCTTTGACTCCTTCACTTCCTGCCACTCAAATCCCATTCAGAACAGCTGCATGCTCAAGGTATAACAACTTCTTCTCATTCTACATACCAGAAGTCATCTCTTCCTTCGAACATCAAATTTCAATCACAATTATCGAGAGATTGATCAAGATGACACTCAAAACAATGTCGAAACTTGATGCAAATGGTAATTACGCTAAGTTTGATTACGCAAACAGCTTGCTTTACCGTAATCTTGCAAATATTATTTCGAATTCCGTTCCGACGATCGATCACAACATGTACAAACTTCTTATCAACCAGTACCCACTTGATTTCGTATCATTCTACAACTATCAGGTCATGTCTGGCTTTGATATCGACGAAAGACGCATTAAACTCGCTCCTTTGAGTAAAATGGTCAACGACATGTTCATTTCCTTCCTGAAATTCCTTGGCACATCAACAAACGACAAGCACAATGATCTAATCGTTAAATGCTTCTCCATGTGCCGATGGACAACCGCCGCAAATTTCGCCCCTGAATTCAATGACTGGCTTAAAACCGCTAATTTCTCTCAAAATCAAAATGCTCTTGTTTCTGTACTAAAAGTTATACATTTCTTAGCGCAGAACCCTGATTTCAAGTTCACATTGTCATGCCAACCACTCTATAAGGACATTTTGACAACTATTGCAAATGAATGCCATAAAATATTTAATTCGGCACAATGCTTCAGTGAATCTAAGATTAAGACAAGGAAGGATAACTACCAGCCTCTAATAACCAACTATCTCTCTGCAATGTGGTTCGTTTTCACTGCATTAACAACAGATATCGATTCTAAGATTGTTGGACCATTCAGAATTCCGAAATCGTTTGCCTGGCTTGGTGAAAACAATCCACTCTGCACAGACATAATGAAAATGACCTGCAATTTCGTCAATTTCAAGAATTCAACCGATTATGAAGTCCAATTTCTTGGAGAGAACGCAGAACGTCTTATTTCCTCCATCATTGCATCCAGCCTTGTTCTTTTGTCCGAAAAAGAAGAGCAAGTCCGTATTTATGAGAAATATTTGTTCAATATCCAGACAAAAGGCTGGCCAACGATGCATTTAGCTCTCCATCGCAACTTCAAGCATCTCATCTCCCTATTTGCCAAGCATTCCTACGAAACTGCTCCAAATCAAGCGAGAACCTATTTCAAAGCCATTTTCAACACAATTATACCAGACACGAACTGTCTTATCGATCGTACAAAGAACATGAGGAAGTTCGAAGACAAAAGAACAGCCCAAATCCTTACAACGATGATGCACACTTTGAATAACGACCAAGTCCAGCAAAACCTCGTAATCGACGAAGAGCAACTCAATGCCAGCGAAAGAGTTTTCAACTACGACATTTTGTCCTCTTCCGGACAAATATTATTTATCTCCTTCATTTATCTGATGGACGATGTCTTTGATTTACGCTCTGCCGCCTTCAACCTCATTCTCCGCCTCGTTCCCTTTGTTTTGGCCGTTCTCGAAGCTCATGATCCAGCGAAAGCGGCCGAAGCAGTGAAAAAGCTTGAACAATACGCGCCAATCTTCCATTCCTCGATCATTACAGTTCCTCCCTCCACAATAAAGCGAATTGCCAGCATCGTTGCCAATTTCGTTCCCCAGATTTCGGAACTCGTCATCAAGGAAACCTTTGAATTTATGCGTGTATCAACACCAGATTCATTGGCATACAACACTCCACAATCCGCTGTTCTTGAGATCCTCTTCGCCTTCCTCAAGAACGTTTCCATCACTTCCAGAAACGTAATGTCCGAAGTATCAGCCAAATTCGCTATTTACACGCCTTACACTTCACTTGAGCAGTTAGTAATTCTGTACCCATCGATAAAAACCGCCGGCCGAGCCAATTATCTCAGTATTTGGGGCGGTATCTGTAATTCTGAAGAAGCTCTCAAACAAATTGTCACTTTTCTTTTATATTATGCAAATAGAGGCGAATATGCACAGGCAGTACAGACAATTATGTTATTCCTTTCGCAAGGATATACAACACAGATCATACAGTCATTGAGTGAGCGCATTACTTTTGCTTATTGGTACTATAACAACATACAAATTCATATTTCTGAGAAAAATCCACCTGTTTTTGATTTCCAAGAGTACCAAACAATATTCTCAACATTAGTTGAGTTAGCACAGATTGTTCCTCAACAGTTAGTTCCTGAACTACATCTGATTATTCATTTTGCACTGCTTTATTATGATTTTGCTCCGAAAATATTTTGTGAACTATTGTTTATCATCATGTCCGGATTACAGAATTGCCCTGATTCCATAACAAAGAGCTTCTTACCACCAGGAGCTTTGACATGGGATCTCTCCAAACCAATCAAAGGATTGTCTGACGACAGACAACCAATTTCTTGTTCAGAAATCGCTGGAATGATCGTTGAATATTTCACACAGCAGAAAGGAACGAAGATATTGCAGAACTGGGGCAAAGAAGCTGTCAGATGGGCTACAGGCTGTGGAGATTTGAAGATTGCAAGTAGATCAGCAATGATATTGAGTAGATTACTTTCTCCTGTCGACGGAAGAATGATTGTCTCCGTAATAAGAAACGCTCATAATTTAATGAGAGTTCCTACTTCTTCTGAGTCTGGTGAGTATTTGATGTCTATTTTCACTTTACTCTCTGCAATCATCGACAAGAGAGTTACTTCATCAAAATTCGCTCCTTCTTTCAAGTACATATTTGATGCTGCATGCGAATTCATCAAAATAACTCCTGATCCACGTTTGACACAAGCAGCATTGACAATTGTTGCAAAATACGTAATCCACGGACAGACGGAATACGAAGTAATGCGTGATTTGTTGGCCACTTTCTGTGATTTGATGGTTACAATGGAAGACAGAAGAGCTGTTGACGGAGCATTCATGGCTTGCATGCATCAGTCTCTTCCACCAGCAAATATCACAGGAACACATATAAATCAGTTGGCTTTCATCGCATTTTTGCCGAGAATTTACTCTGCTTTGGCTTCCTGCCACAACATTGAACCGTATTTGACAGAAGTGAGTGAAATAGAAGTCCACAGAGTTTTGCAATGCGCTGTTTCTTTGGCTGCTCATGAGAATTTCTTGCCACAGAATTTGACAAATTATTTCTTGATCTCGTTCAAGAAACCATCAACAGCAACTTTGGATGAATTCGCTCTTAAATGCGCTGCACATTTAACAGAAGGATCATTCCAAGCTGTTGTAGAAGCTGTTCCTCTTTTGGTCCACATCTGCAAGGGAAAGGACATCGCGTTGAGAGAAGCTGTTTTCTCAATCGTTTTCGCATTTTTGGGCATCGGAGAGTTTATCTCTGCTGCTGATGCTTTCTCTCCAATTGTTGCAATTGCTGCTGACTCTTCTTCTGAAGCTTCTTCCAATTTGTTGCAGAGATTCATGGAATTGGCTGAAGATGAGTCAAAGATCGCTGTGGATCTCCCAATTTACAACTTCCCATCAAGAAACCAAGGCCAGATATCGAGAAAACTCGAAGAACTCGATAAGGAAACAATTCAGTTGCCAACAGGTGAAGTCGTTTTAGATGACTGCTCTTTGTTGATTGTCCCACAACAGGACAAATTGTGGCAACACGACATTTTCAAGGGTCTGAAAACAGAGTTGTCTCAGATCAAGGTTATGCCTTTCACAAAGGATAACTTGTCTTTGGACGGCCTCAGACAGGAAGTCGTCAGATCTGACCAGAAAGTCACTATTTCAGCTGATCCGGCTGATTATATCGAATATAAGAACTTTTAAATTTTTTTTATTTTCTATAAATTCTAAAAAACAAAATTTTCATTTTCTTCGTTTTAAGGCTGCACTGTAAAGTACTTTTTCTCAATATCTAGTAGATATCTTTCGGAAACAAGATAGTATTATATTCCTCTATATTATAAGGAGTATTTATGATTCGCTTTTGCATAAAAATCTTATAAATTCATCGATTTTTGAAATTTTATTATTTTTTCGAATTTTTTTTCGTTTTTTCTACGATTATAAACGGCGAAAGTAATTTTGGATGTAATTCAAAATAATAGTATTGCTCATCGATATATGTGCCTTTAAAGGCTAAGATTTCACAATTAAATGACTTTTTGAAGGTCTTAAATTAAATTTCCTTTTTTTATTTCATAATTCAATGATATTCGATTTTTTATACGGGGTTATTCTTAAATTGCGATATTTCAATCAAAAATATAAAACTGAATAAAAATTAATTAAATCTGTTGCAAAACAGAATTGAGATTAGTTAGCTATACCATGCATATTTTAAAGGACAAAAAGATGCATTCATAACTAAAAATAGCCATATTTCCTCTTTAGATGAAGAATATAACGATAATATGATTTGCAAATATGACAAATAAGATTCATTTTAAGCTCACAACCATATATGTGGATAATATATATAGTATCATATATAATAGGGGTCTAACTATGAATTTTATAAGTTTTATATAAAAATTGAAAAATTAGTTAATTGTAATATGTAAAATATAATTCAAGTTATGCGTTTATTTGCGTTTAGTATTATTTTTCAAAAACTAAAGTAATAACGGAAAATAATTAAAGAAATAAAGTCCCAAAGTTGGACAAAACTTGAAAATCATATGACTTCTTCAATCTCTGCAGCTACCTCTGGCATGCAACATATTGAATTTGATATGTACCTGATGTAACGGCACAATTTAGATTCGAATTTATATAAAAAATGGAAATCCTATAAGCGAATTTGCAGGAAATAGTTGCCTTTTATCTGCAGATTAAATCGATGAAGTTTTATTTTTTTCGAAAAAAAGTCAAGTTCGAAGGTTCCAAAATAGGTCTCGAACAAGAAAAAAAAATCAATGTCAAAAAAATTCTGAAGTTTACTTACAGACTACAGTGCAGCCTTAAAAATTATTCTTTTTTCGAAAATGCTATAGAGGTGTTACAGAGTGCATGTTTCATCTTTATTTTGTCTAGTTAGCAAAGACATAATGTTGAAATATTAATTTTCAGAATTGATAGCTTTTTTTGGCACTTTTTATTTCAATTTTACTCTTGTTATTGATATATCTCTCTCGCTCGGTAAATACTAATTAACATATTCATTCATATTAAGTGCAGGGATACATTTAAGGCCCCATTAACGCATATGTTTGCAATTTGTGGTAATAATTTCAATTTTGATGATAATTAGGCAAAAATTTCGTGCAATGATAGTAGTCAAATATGATAATGCGTAAGTCAAGTTATATATGTTAAAAGTAAAATATGGTGAACGAATGAAAACAACATAATATCAATGAAATAATGGAATTTGTTTGATTATTTTGCAATCTTATTGTTCTTTCTACATATTTAGTTTTATAGATCATAACATTATGAATTATTATAGCAAAATGATTAGATTACATATAATTAGATATTTGATATTGAGATCATATACGATAATGTAAAAAGAATACCAAAGGATGAATAGGAAATGCTTTGCAATTACAATACAACTCATATAATCAGCCAATTATGTATATCAGTAAAGAAATTCCAAAATTATAATAGTCGTTTTGAGTTATTTCGGTGCTATCATGTATGATATAGTACTAAAAATACTAGAAAATTAATGGAAAATATAAAATATAACCATAAATTACCAATACTGCTTTGAAACATCTGAAATCCATGGTATTTACCGACATCAAAGAAAATACCCCTTATATACAATATATGGGTGCACGAATAAATGAGAATAATGAAAGGTATTCTCAAATGATTGTAAAAATATAAAATATTTTATATATTTTGAACTTAGCACATTATATTCTATAATTGAAAGAGGAATCAAATTTATATTTGCCTCGATTCACTTTCAAATTCAATTTCTCCGGTCGCATATCTTCATATTATTTAATATTGATGATTTACTTTACGCAAAATTGCTACTCACATCCGAAATGAACTATTTGGTAATATAAAATTTTATATTTCTTGAGAAATTTTAATAATTTACTATTCAGACACTTTTTGATAGCTCGCCACTTTTTCCTTTAGATTTCAAATAAAAAAAGATGATATTTAAGTCAAACATAATATAAAACATCAACCCCTCATTTACTTTTTTAAGGGGAAAATAATCGCGTATTAGTTCTCAAAATGCAAAAAACCGTCATATTTAAAAATGGGTTGTGGAAGTTCAACGCCGGAAGAAAAAGTTTCGAAGCAAAGCATAGAAACAGCTCCAAAAGCAGAACAGCTAAAGCCCGCACCAGCACAAAATCAGCCTAAAAAAGAAGATTCAACTCCAAAACCCGCTCCACCACCACCGGCAAATCCACAACCAGAGCCACCAAAACAAGCTGCTCCAACACCTCAACCGGAACCAAAGCCAGAACCAACTCCAGCACCACCACCAAAACCACAACAAGAAAAAATTGTTACAAAAGGTGTCAAAGATGACTCTGGAGATGCTTATGGCCTTCTCCTTTGCGGTGCTGGTGAATCTGGTAAGACAACATTCACAAGACAATTACGTATTAAATATTTAGACGAATTTACTTCATCAGAGCGCCAAAACTTCGTAGCTACAATGCGCGGAAATATGATTGAAGCAATGCAAACACTCCTTGTCTGGCTTGAGCGCCAGCGGCTCGAGCTAGAAAACGAAGATCTTCAAGATCTTGCTTATGAGATTTCCCAGATGGACGCATTCAGCTGCGAATTCACTGAGGAAATTGCTGAGCAGCTCAAGGAATTGTGGCAGGATGGCTCGATTCAAGAGGCATTCAGCCACAAAGACGAAACAATTATTCCCGATCATATGGACTACTTCTTCAACAAAATCGACAAAATTGTTCAGGAGGACTTCCAACCATCCGATGAGGATATCTTAAAGGCACGTATTCGTACAATTGGCATCGATAAAGTCACAATTAACTGTGATGATGCTTTAATTAGAATTTACGATGTTGGTGGTCAGAAATCAGAACGTTCTAAGTGGGAGAAATGCATGAGCGAGGTCCAGGGTGTTATTTTCTGCGTTTCATTCGCTGAATTTGATAAACCTATGTTCGAATCTCCAGAAATACCTCGTATTCAGGATGCTCTCTCTATTTTCGAACAAGTTACTCATAAGGAGAAATTCCAGAACGCTCCTTTCTTCGTACTTTGTAATAAATACGATGCATTCTCAGATCGCATTAAGAATACAGACGCTTTCTCAAAGACATTCCCACAGTACCAGGGTAACCCGCATGACCCAGATGAGTGCGCTAAGTTCATGACAGAGCTCTTCTTAGAAAAGGCAAGGCCAGATGTAGCTACTCGACCAATTAATACATATAAACTTATCGCACTTGATAGCGATAATGTTGTCCAAACTACTAACCAGATTTGCAAATACATTCGCGAACACTATTTTGAATAAATGCTTTTTTAGATATTTCCCATTTATATTCATCATAAAACTATTTGGAATAATTAATCATATATTTCATGTGCATGTCTCCCAGAATGGCATATTGTTCCCCACTCATAACTTGAATGCGGAACTTTGACCGCCAAGAATCTTCAACTAAGGGTTTCGTTTTGCTAAAATTGTCACTTTTATAGCATATTTGTTTTTGGATGTTTTGCGAAACCAAAAAAAACTATGATATACAATGTGTGTGTAAAGAAAATACTTTATTTACTAGTTAAAAAATCATTTGGTATTGATCAAGTTATTTTTTCTGGATAAGATATTATATGGATAATTGGATAGAAAATACAATTATATAATCTTGTACCTGGTTTAATTAAGCTAATTGTCATCAGAAACTTGTAATTTTTATGAATTTCAGATTTTCTTTTCATTACTGCTTTTCTTAATAGGTCAAGTTCTTATTTACGTTATAAAGTATGATATTTACAAATATCAAGTTATCGTGTTTTTTGAGAAATTATGAGAAACAAACAAAAATGAAAAAGATAGGAATAGCAATGAATAGTGATGTGGGTATAGAAAATGTAAGAGATATGAATGCAAAGCAATCAGTATTTAGGACATTGACCATAGATTTCGAAAAAAAAATGCTGCATATTGAGCGAAAACTATGATTATATTATAAGGCTGTCATTTAAAGCATAATGAAACTATTCCCTTTTCATTTTAATCGAATAAGATAGTAAAGATTTTTGAATTAGCTAGAAACTGATGAGATGTTTTCACAAATCAGATTTTTAATCTCTATAATGCATAATTCACTCAATATCTCAATTTTGATATTGCGAGATATTTTTGCTATCGGTTTCGCAATTTTGACACAATAGCAAGAGGGTTCTATAAGCATTATTATCAACGTAGAATCTGAATATCATATCAGAAAATGTCGCAAATCTGACATTTACCCGACCAAATAGCAAAAATAATTGAATACTTTTCGCAAAAACTTTAAAAATCGATAAAAATATGAAATATAGATATTAAAGAGACTTTTTATATAATATTAGGTCAGGTATGAGGGGCTTCCAGGGGCTGCGCCCCTTCTAGCCCTGAAGATGTTTAGTATAAATGAAGTTTATATTTGGAGGGCTTCCAGGGGCTGCGCCCCTTCTAGCCCCTAAGAATTTTGCCCAAGACCCAAGAGGAGGACCGAACCCCAGCCGACCAGCCGGTGATAAAAACCAAAACCGTTTTTAAAAAGTGACAGACAACTCCGTTTTTTAAAAGTGACGAAAAACCGATAGAAGAAGAAAAACCAAAAACTGAAGATAAACCAAAACCAAAGTTTAGTTTCCAAACTAAACCAAGTCAACCTTCATTAGCTGGTATGGGTTGGCGTCAAAGACTTATGGCAGCAGGCGGTTATGTAAAGTAAAGAAATATTTTTTTATTTTTATAAAAATGCCCCCATATAGAATGGATAGAAAGTCTGCTAGAATAAAAGCAGAGTTGCAAGGATATGGTTGGAGAGTTTCGAAGAAGTTTAAATATAGGAAGGGAAGACCCATAAAAGTCTATGACAAATTGTCTGGTCTTCGCTACGAAATGGATTTGGAAACAGCACGTGCCAATTATCCAAACAGACTAGAGAGGTTAGAAGAAGAACGTCTTATGGACATGCCTTTCGATGTTAGTGAACCTCAAGTTGAAGGACACGACGGCTTTGCCAGATTCTACTGGAAACATGACGAACAATTGCATCCTTTGAGAAGGAAAAAAGGTAGTGCAGAGGATGGTCATGCTCCCATGGAAAGAACAAGATATGCATATGAAAAGTATCGTGAAGTTAGAAGTCAAATTACATCTGGTCGAACCTTTACAGTAAACTTTGACGAAGGAAAGAACAAAGAAGGCTTCATGGGTGTACTTGCTGCAATTCAAGACGGAAATAAGAAAGGACACAATCTCAGATTGACCATAACAGATTTGGATGGTCACATTTACTATGCACATGGCAATGAACAAACAGCCGCAAAACTTCTTGACGCTTTCAAGACTACAAAGAGAGAACAAATGGTTGACTCCGACTCAGACATTTTGAATGCAATTGAAGGAATTGCAAGTGTCAATTTCGAATGGTACCAACCTAACCCTCAAGCAGTCAGACAACATGCTGGATACTTCCCGTTCATAAATAAGTCTGACATTGACTTGACAAGGTATGGAATTTACAATTCAATTGAAACAATTGTCAACGAACCTTGCATTCTTACATGTCTCAGGAACTCTGGTCTTGTTACAGATGAGAAGATGAAGTATCTTGAGTCATGTGTGAAGACAAGGTACATTCTCAGAGGTCAATTGGCAAAAATTGCACCGTTGGCAAATGTCAATATCCGAGTCAACATACCTACAGCTAAAGGTTCTTCACATGACGACTATGTTGTTGACAAAGACTTACCATGGTTGAAGATTGTAATTGTCCACAACCACTTCATGTTGAACGAAAGTCTTACAAACCCATTGTTCGGAAAAGGCAAGTGCAACATTGTCAGAGCTGTAAACATTCTTTTCGAGAAAGGTTTGTTGGAACCAATTCCAGATGACAAGCTGACAGAAACTTTTGTACCAAAAGACGAAACAAACTTTTCACTGTTAGCAAGACCAAAAGTTGTTCCAGACAAAGTTCTAGTACAAAAGAAGTACACAATTCCACAAGGAGTTGGATTGTTCGGATACCAACCTGAACCAGAAGAACTTCCAATGAGGTTGCAAGAACTTCAAGATGCTATAAATAAACTTCCATTGAGACATCCAATTGACGTCAAATTGTATTGGAGAGCATCTGAGTTAGGTCAGAAGGTTTTATATGAAACAGGTTGCTTCGACGATGTTTATGAGATAACAGGAGAAGTTTCTCAGAAGATAAGAGACTCACTTGAATTTCCACAAACTGGACCAATTGGTTGCGACAAGTTCGACTCAAACGAAAAGATATACTATGTCGACCTTAACGCTGCATACATGAGGTTTGTCCAATATATTCCGACTGGAATTCCAAACGAAGATGGTGAGTTCCCGGGAAGGAACTATACAGTTGGAAAAGTCATACAACAACTGTATGATATTAGGAAGGCTTCAAACCCCAAACTTGCAATGACACTCAAATTGCTTATGAATTCGACATGGGGATATTCCATTAAGAAACCTCAAGAGATGAAGAGTAAACATTATGAGAAGGTCGACAACTTTGTTGAAAGGTTTTCTCCTTTTGTTTTGAAGTACGAATTCACTCAAGGTCAAAGTGGCTTAGTAACCACATTAAAACCTATTGTCGAACATTGGTCTTACCCTCAGTTCGCAAAGACAGTCCTTGACAACTACAAAAAATTCTTCTCCGAAGTCAAATCCAAAGTCAAGGTTTACTATGAGAACATTGACGCACTCATGACGAACGAAGAAGGCTATAACAAACTCATTGAAATGGGTTTAGTCGGTGAAAAGATGGGCTGTTTTAAGCTAGATAAGGTATTTTCCGAAGTTCATGTCCTCTCCAAGCGTAAGTACTGGGGTGTTAAAGAAGATGGTGAAATAGTTAAACATTGCATGAAATAAAAAATTTTTATTCGAATTTGAATTAAAATGTGGGAATTCTTGGGAACGGGAAAGGCTTATTTACTTGAGGAACAGGTAAAGGTGGTGGAGGTGGAGGTGGTGGCAACCAGTCCATTTTATATTCCTTCCTAGCTAATTTCCGTTTAATTTCATGGTCGCCCTCGGAGTCTTTGAATCGGACAGGTCGAGTTACACCATTCTTGGTCTCAAACTCATATATAACCTGTTTGTCTGTATTTTCGTCGACTATGGCACGAGACACGAACATTGACCAAACGGACAAAAAGTGTCATTTCGGATGGTCAAGCAGCCAATCGCATTCGAGCACTTCGAAGAAGCCTTACGTTCCAAGGGAGAGGGTGTCTGGTGCAAGGCAGAGGTCATGAGACTCTACGAGCAGTACATCCTCAATGCCTGGGAGGACAAATCGTCCTTGAATTGGCAATTCTACCAACTCCTCTGGGACGACCTCCTACGCAACTGGGATAACGAAAGAACCCAATTCAAAGGTCGGGAGCTAATTTTCCAAATTACCATTAATAGTGCCTACTTATCCAACTAAACACTTAAATTTACTTGGGGTTTCCCCCTAAAATAATTTTTTTTTACTCTTAGAACCACTCGAGGTTCTCCTTACGGTTGTTGAGCTTGTCACCGTCAATGTGTCTGACCTTCGTCTTCTTGCCTGGATTTGGAACCCATTGAATTGCGACAAGCTTGCCCATGGAGATTGAACCGCGATTCCGAAGGTTAAGGTTCAAGTGTCCCAAGTTGTTGAGGACTGGGGTAAGAACCTTGCCTGTCTCCTTGTTGCGGATTTGGTATGGGTAGGGTTGGGAAATTTCGTAACCGTCATCGGCAACAAGGGTTGCCCATGTAGCGGCTTCAGGAACTTCTTCGTGTTTCTCTTCTTCCTCTTCTTCCTCTTCTTCCTCTTCTTCCTCGACAATTCCTTCTTCAATTTGGTACTCACGAAGTACGGTGTTGCATGTTCTGTCCTTTCCGAGTACCTTCCAGATGGCGTCTATCTCTTCGAAGAAACGGTAGATGAGTCTGGCAAGGTCTCGGTTCTCTATGTTGTATTGGCGCAAGGTTTCCGCGAAATCGTTCAGGACTTTCTTATTGGAAGCTTGGTTCGTGAGGACTTCGACTTTGAGATTGGTTATCTCTTCCATAAGACTACTTTGGAGAGTCTGAATGGTGTTTGACAGATGAGCGTTCAATTGGGCAATTTGAATTTGAACTGGGCGCTTGTCTGGCAACCTTGAAAGGACATCTGCCATTGAGTTTGGCTTCGGTGCTTGTTCGGACATCGAAAAATGAAGTGGTTTGAGAATGGCGGTTTTACTTCAAAAAGCTTGTTATGACAGTTATGTCATACAACAAGTTTAAAATAATATCTTGTTCTTCTTCTGAACGTTTGTTGTCTCTTCCGATAAAAGTTTGGAACATGAGAACCAAAAAACGTTTTTTGAGATTGTGGAAGAGTTCAGGCAAACGTTCATATTCCGGATATGTTGGGAGCAGTTTCGAAACATCTGAGCTGACTTTCGGACAAAATTGGGACAATGTCAACAAATTCATCTTTGGTCGGACTGCTTGAAGGTAAGTCCCTTACATGTAAGTAGCTCTGGTAAAGTCTTCTCATTTCTGCTAACTTTTGGAGTATAGCTTCGTAGTTTAGAAGTTTTAATTTTAATTGTCTTATTCCACTCTTGACATCTAAACGGTAACTATCCATGAGGTCAAGAGTAGCTTTGGTAGCTTTAAGTGGAGCTATCTGTTCCTTGACTTCTGCAATTTTGGTTGCAATTGTGATTTGAGCTCCTTCAAGTTCGCCGTCTATGTCGTTCTCAACGTCTTCAAGCATGGCTTGAAACTCTTCATCGGTCCATTGAGATTGGTGTGGGACGAATTTAACTTGCTTCATTCAAAAAATGAAAAAAATGTTTTTACTCTAAACGTTAAGGTTTACTGAACTGGTTGGATGTCGCCTTCACAGGTTATGTAGAACGGCTGACCCGAGAAGTGAAGGAGAGACTGAATTGCCAATTTCATATGGGGTAGGGGTTCTCCTTGTTTGGTATTTTTATCCAAGGACGTTTGTTTAGGAACTTAACAAGAGCTTCTCTTTTGGCGTCCTTTATGCCATCGTAGGCTGTCCCGTCTGGTATTTGAATTGGAATTCCAGTCGAAGTCTCGAGCTGAAGTGTAGACCTTCCAGAAATAGTGGTGAACTTGACCTTGGGCTTCATGACCTTGCGCAAGTAGTCTTTTACGCAGTCGTTAATTTCAATTAGGTAAATTGCCTCGTCAAATCCTTCTGGCATTCCGAGTCCTTCCATCCGACAGGAAAATATTTTCCCGACAAACTGGAAAAAATTTTCCTTCCGACAGAAAAAATTTTTCCTTCCGACAGGAAGAACTCTTCCAGTTGTCCGTCCGTAAACCATTCAAATTTTCGAAAATTGAGAACTTTTTGGTCGAACTTCAGAAAAAGTTTTTCCTTCCGACAGAAAAAGTTCTTCCTTCCGACAGAAAAAGTTCTTCCTTCCGACAGGAAAAGTTCTTCCTTCCGACAGGACACAAACGGATGACTGACGTTCCTCTTCCTGAACGCCTTCCAAAGCCAGAAGAACCGAAAGCTGCAGAACCACAACAGTCTCCTCAGCAACCTCAGTTCCAGCAAGTACCTCCGAATTACTACCAATTTCCACCTCAAGGTTACTACCTACCACAAGGCTTCCCGAACTACCCTCCTCAGCCTATGCCTTACTTCCCCAACCCTTGGATGTTCCAGCAAGCTCCACCCCAGCAATTCCAATCTCAGTCCAAATCGAAGAGAGACCGAGAGTTCGAAGAAGGTCTGAACCGTTTACGCAAAGAGTATGCTACTGCCCCTATGGAAGACGACAGGCTTTCAGTCTCTTCCCTCAAATCGACCGATTCGACTCGTACCACAGATTCGGTTCGTGACCGTGAAGACTACCTCAAGCAGTCTGAGAGACTCTTCATCCTACAATCATTTACAGTTGGAGCTCTCAAGAACATGCGCAATTACGAAGGTCAGACACCAGCTGGAGACCGCAAAACAGACGTACTCGCAAGAGCCGTCCAACTGGTCAAGACAAAGACTGAGATAGTCGACTTCATTCTTGCAGCTTGCCCATACAAGTAAAAAAATAAACAATTACGAGTTAAACTTTTTACTCTTTCTTTTCTGAGTTGTTTAGAGCTGGTTTCTCTTGTAGAAACCTTTCGTACTCTTCCATGGTCATGTAATTGCGAATTTGGTACGCAATTCCAGGTTCGTTGTTTTTGAACCTGATGTATGTAACGCTTCCATCCTCCTCAGGGAAGTAAGCTGCTAACATCTGACCAAGTTTTCTCGGTGACTCGGAGCTCATTAAAAATGTCACTTTTTAAACGTTAAGTTTTTAGTCTTATTTTACCCTTTGTTTACCCTTTGTTTGTCAAGGTAGTATTGGAGTGCAATTTCTCCAAATTCTCTGTGTCGGAGTTCTTCAGCATTTTCCAAGGTGTACCTGGAGAACTCAAAGAAGTTGTCAAGAAGATACTGCCATGCTGCTCTTCTGAGTTCGTCGGTATTTTGGAAGTGTTGCACCTTCGAGTCTTCGGACATGAAAAAATGACACTTTTTCTATTAAACCGTTTTGGCATTTCTCATGAGTGAGTATAGTTCTGCCGAACCATTGGAAGAGAAGAAGTACCCTTGCTGGCAAAAGACAAAAATAGTTGCCTTAGTTGTCATTGCAATTGTACTCGTAATTGAATTCATTGTACTTCTCTTCACGTACATAAAACTCAGCAATGGTATTTGCTTTAAGAAGCTACCATCTTACTAAGACTAAACACTTAGATTTTTCAAGCTTGACTTTTTACAATTTGAATTTTGTTGCTGAATTCAGTAAAAATAATGTTTAGGTGAAGAGGTGAGATCTCACCCGTTTTCTCACCTCTTTTCTCACCTCATGAATTTGTCATGACTTCTTCGTAAACTAAACGTAAATGTTTTGTGAAGAATATAGCAACCGTCTGAATTCCGGCGGTTGGTTTTTATACAAAATTCATGCGGGAAATTCTTGAGTTTTGGTTGAAAGAATACGGTGGAGCCAAAAGTGGCTCGACCTCAAAACAAGCATTTTATGAGCTTACAAAGGGTGTTATGAATGAATTCAGCAACATACATCCTGACCTCGTTCATTTTGTTGCTAAATTCAGTAAAAATAATGTTTAGGTGAAGAGGTGAGATCTCACCTGTTTTCTCACCTGTTTTCTCACCTCTTGAATTTTCATGATTTCATCGTACATGTTTTGTCGAAACTTCTTCATCGTACATGCTTTGTCAAGACTTCTTCGTAAATGTTTTGTCAAGACTTCTTCGTAAATGTTTTGTCAAACATGAACGTAAATGTTTTGTCAAGACTTCTTCATCGTAATGAGCGTAAATCAGACAAAAATATATTTTATGTTAACATGTTAGATCTAACACGTTTTCTAACCTCATGAATTTGTCAAGACTTCTTCGTACATGTTTTGTCAAGACTTCTTCGTACATGCTTTGTCAAGACTTCTTCGTAAATGTTTTGTCATGATTTCATCGTACATGTTTTGTCAAGACTTCTTCGTACATGTTTTGTCAAAACTTCTTCGTAATGAGTGTAAAGGACCCAAAAATAATGTTTAGGTGAAGAGGTGAGATCTCACCCGTTTTCTAACCTGTTTTCTAACCTCTTGAATTTTCATGAATTTCCTTAAGATAGAAAAAATAAAGTTAGTTTTATTTTTTTATTTTGTATAAAAGATATTTCAGGGATTTTTTTGACGAAGTGTTAATGTTCACTTCGTCAAAAAATAACAGTTATCTAATGAAAAAGTGAAAGTTATTCTTCATTTTTTTGTATGTAAGATATGATTTCAGGGATTTTTTTGACGAAGTGTTAATGTTCACTTCGTCAAAAAATAACAGTTATCTAATGAAAAAGTGTCATTTTTTTGTATTTTTTTGTATTTGACGAGAATGTCGGGTAGATGGTTAGATCTAACACGTTTTCTAACACGTTTTCTAACCTCTTGAATTTGTCATGATTTCATCGTAAATGTTTTGTCATGACTTCATCGTAAATGCTTTGTCAAACATGAGCGTAAATGCTTTGTCAAACATGAACGTAAATGTTTTGTCATGACTTCATCGTAAATGTTTTGTCGAAACTTCTTCGTAAATTCTATGTCAAACATGAACGTAAATGTTTTGTCAAACATGAACGTAAATGTTTTGTCAAGACTTCTTCGTAATGAGTGTAAAGGACCCAAAAATAAAGTTTATGTTAGAATGTTAGATCTAACACCTTTTCTAACACGTTTTCTAACATGGTCTAAAACTCTCGAAAATCATGAAATTTACACCAAAAAATAATGTTTAGGGTAGATGGTGAGATCTCACCTGTTTTCTAACACGTTTTCTAACATGGTCTAAAACTCTCGAAAATCATGAAATTTACACCAAAAATAAAGTTTATGTTAGAATGTTAGATCTAACACCTTTTCTAACACGTTTTCTAACATGGTCTAAAACTCTCGAAAATCATGAAATTTACACCCAAAAATAAAGTTTATGTTAGAATGTTAGATCTAACACCTTTTCTAACACGTTTTCTAACATGGTCTAAAACTCTCGAAAATCATGAAATTTACACCAAAAAATAATGTTTATGTTAGAATGTTAGATCTAACACGTTTTCTAACCTGTTTTCTAACCTCTTGAATTTTCATGACTTCTTCGTAAATGTTTTGTCAAGACTTCTTCGTAAATGTTTTGTCAAGACTTCTTCGTAATGAGTGTAAAGGACCCAAAAATAATGTTTATGTTAGAATGTTAGATCTAACACGTTTTCTAACACGTTTTCTAACCTCTTGAATTTTCATGACTTCTTCGTAAATGTTTTGTCAAGACTTCTTCGTAATGAGTGTAAAGGACCCAAAAATAAAGTTTATGTTCGAATGTTAGATCTAACACGTTTTCTAACACGTTTTCTAACCTCTTGAATTTTCATGAATTTTCCCGAAATAAAAAATAAAGTTAGTTTTATTTTTTTTATTTTTTTTATTTTGTATAAAAGACATGATTTCAACAATCGGCACAACAACAGTTCAAACAACAACAGCACCAAACTCGTTAGTTATGAATCCTACGTCAATGTTGGTAGAGATGAAAAACTTCATTCCTTCTTCATATACTTTCGAAACAAAAATCCAGAAGATAAAGCAGGAATTGTTAACAAGTAATTTAGACTGTAGTGCGAAAGATGAAACAAATGAACAGTATCTTTATGACATGCAGGACATTATTGACCATTTACCCAAATTGCCTGAAATCCAACAACAAAAACTAACCATTCCCGAATTTGACGAAATTGAAGTCAAACCAACTGACTCAGTAGAAATAAAGAAGTTCATACGAAAGGTAAATTATGAATTCCTTGGTTTTCATTGCAACCATAAGGTTATGGACAAAGATTGCGACATGGTATATAAGAACATCTCTGACATATATAAATCGGTGGAGTTTAAGACATACGACAACTTTGTTTCATTAGTTGCTGAATGTGTATGGCAGATAAGAGATGAAGATAGAAGAGGCAAAGTATGGAACAAACAGATAAGACCCGCTATGTTTGAGATGAAGAGAGCAATTGACGCTTTAGTTGTTTTAGCAGGTAAGGTTTCAGAATATAACGCAAAATTGAACCCACAATGTTCTAAATGTAAAGCAGCAATGAGGAAATATAACTACTCCGTCAAAGAGATAGAAAGAATGAGAAACGACTATGCAGACTTAAAGAAAGAAGCAGAAAAGCCGGTAGAAAATAAAATGGACATGTTAGAATTTCTGAACAAAAACTATCCAACTGCTGACGATTTCCTTCTATCTGACGTCAAGAAGAAGTATAAAGAAACTTTCGGTATCGTTAAAACTTTTGACATACTGACAGAAGAAATAGAAGCTACGAAATTGTTTAGAGTCATGAACCATCGCAACATATACCATGTAAAACGCTTGTAAATAGTTATGTTAGAAAACAGGTGAGAAAACGTGTTAGATCTAACATGCTAACATAAACATTATTTTTTCTATCTTAAGGAAATTCACGAAAATTCATGAGTTTTGTGTGTTTTAGACCATGTTAGAAAAACGTGTTAGAAACGTGTTAGATCTAACATGCTAACATAAACATTATTTTTTCTATCTTAGGAAATTCACGAAAATTCATGAGTTTTGTGTGTTTTAGACCATGTTAGAAAACGTGTTAGAAAACGTGTTAGATCTAACATGCTAACATAAACATTATTTTTTCTATCTTAAGGAAATTCACGAAAATTCATGAGTTTTGTGTGTTTTAGACCATGTTAGAAAACGTGTTAGAAAACGTGTTAGATCTAACATGCTAACATAAACATTATTTTTTCTATCTTAAGGAAATTCACGAAAATTCATGAGTTTTGTGTGTTTTAGACCATGTTAGAAAACGTGTTAGAAAACGTGTTAGATCTAACATGCTAACATAAACATTATTTTTGTCTGATTTACGCTCATTACGAAGAAGTCTTGACAAAACATATACGAAGAAGTTTTGACAAAACATATACGATGAAATCATGAAAATTCATGAGGTGAGAAAACAGGTGAGAAAACGTGTTAGATCTAACATGCTAACATAAACATTATTTTTGTCTGATTTACGCTCATTACGAAGAAGTTTTGACAAAACATATACGAAGAAGTTTTGACAAAACATATACGAAGAAGTCTTGACAAAACATGTACGAAGAAGAAGTTTTGACAAAACATGTACGATGAAATCATGAAAATTCATGAGGTGAGAAAACAGGTGAGAAAACGTGTTAGATCTAACATGCTAACATAAACATTATTTTTGCTGAATTCAGCAACAAAATTCTTGATTTCAGGGATTTTTTTGACGAAGTGTTAACCTTCACTTCGTCAAAAAATGGCATATGCTTGCTTCCCTCGGAAAACCGAGAGAAGAACAGCGAGTAAGTAAAAAAACCCAGTCGCCAAAACTCTATGAAAATCGTGAATTTCCTTAAGATAGAAAAAATAAAGTTAGTTTTATTTTTTTATTTATTTTTTTATTTTGTATGTAAAGACACTTATGACAAACATTGAGTTTGAAACAGTTAGAAAGATAGACAATGACACCAAATTGGTTAGAATAGGTGATTTAAACGTAAGATACTCAAAGAAATACAACAAATATTCTTTGTCAGACATTATATCTCCATCTGGAAAGAGACCGATGGACTGGGTTAGAATTGCTTCTACTCAGAAAATTTTGACAAGAAATCCTAAGCTCATGATATCAGTAGCATTTTATGGAACAAGAGCATATCTCATTGACAAAAGTCTTATACCAATAGTTTTGTTATGGTTAGACCCAGTTGTTGGATATAACTTCATAACATATGGTTCATTCGATACGGAACGTTGCAGTGAAGGCTTACTTTACATCGTTCAGAAACCGAAGGACTTCAATACAAAGAGATATAAGATAGGAAGGACATATAATATAACTCAAAGATATGACAGTACAGTCAATAGAGTCAAGGTTGTGTTCGTTAATGATATGAGAGCTGCTGAACAGAACTACTCGAAAAGTTTGAGAAAATGTATGGTGCTCCATAAAGGTAAAGAAACGTTTAAAGTAGATGAGATAGATAAAGCTATAAAATTATTTGACGAAGTTGCTGAAAAATACATGTAAAGCGTTTATTTTTGGTCTTTTGTGAAAAGATAGAAAATAACGCTAATTTTATTTTTATTTATTTTTTAATTTTGTATGTAAAGACAGTAATGTCAACAACAGAGAACACAACAACAGTTATAGTCCATGAAGCTATAAATGAAGAATACGAGTACATACAGTTTAACAAACAACTCCGTCTCATTCGTTCGGTCAAAGATGACATGTACCAAATGCAAAGTATTTTGACGGCTTGTTTTTCTCCAGATACCAAACATACAGACGATTGGTTCAAAAACCAAAGCACACAAGAACTTTTGAGCGAAGCACAGCGAGACAGACTTTTTTCGGGGTCGCCTAAAACTCATGAAAATCGTAAAAATTTGCCAAACGGTTTGAGAGGATATTATGTACATAGACTTCTTGTAAATGCTGTTGCAATGTGGGCTTCACCTCGTTATGCTTGGAATATTTACAGACTTCTTGACGAAATTCATAGACAAGAACGTGAAGAGATGGAAAAGAAACTTCATGCAAAAGATGAAGTCATTGAAGCAAAAGACAAAAGCATTCAGAAAAGAATACAGCGTTCGGTACCAAAAGGAAAGGAAAAGAACTATAAGTATATGATTTATACTGAAGAGATGGAAAATGAAGAAGATAAAGATATGGTTATGTTGCATTTAGTCAGAAGAAACAACAAAAGCTTTTACGACCTTGCTAAGATTTACAAATCTGACAGAAATTGGTTCTATCGCGAAAACTTACCGATTTCAATGACCCCAAATGAAGATGTGAAACAAATAGTTCAAGATACGTTACCTCAAACACACTATGATATTAAAGGTTGTACAATTCTTACCTTCAAAGAAGATTTGCCATTGTTAAAGGAAAAAATAACAGAGTATTTTGACAACTTCAAACAAGTAGGGTAAATGCACTCTTTATTTTTACGCTTGACTTCAGATGGCTCAAGTAGCTCAATTAGGTAAATTGCCTCGTCAAATCCTTCTGGCATTCCGAGTCCTTCCATCCGACAGGAAAAATTTTTCCTTCCGACAGGAAAAAATTTTCCTTCCGACAGGAAGAACTCTTCCATCCGACAGGAAAAAATTTTCCTTCCGACAGGAAAAATTTTTCCTTCCGACAGGAAGAACTCTTCCAGTTGTCCGTCCGTAAACCATTCAAATTTTCGAAAATTGAGAACTTTTTGGTCGAACTTCAGAAAAAGTTTTTCCTTCCAACAGGAAAAAATTTTCCTTCCGACAGGAAAAAATTTTCCTTCCAACAGGAAAAAATTTTCCTTCCAACAGGAAAAAATTTTCCTTCCGACAGGAAGAACTCTTCCTTCCGACAGGAAGAACTCTTCCATCCGACAGGAAAAGTTTTTCCTTCCGACAGGACACAAACGGATGACTGACGTTCCTCTTCCTGAATGCCTTCCAAAGCCAGAAGAACCGAAAGCTGCAGAACTCCAGCAGACTTACTAAGACTAAACACTTAGATTTTTCAAGCTTGACTTTTTACAATTTGAACTTTGTTTGCGTAGATATGAATTCTGAAAGAAGTATGAGGGTCTTGTATGACTTTGTACTTCTCCCATAGTTCATGTCTGTCAAACTTACCTGCCATGGACTCTTTCATAAGTTCCATGAAATCGTCTTCGGACAATCCGGGGAAAAGTACAATGTCAGTAAGTATTCTCTTTACATCCTTACTTAAACTCTTGGCTGTCTGTACACAAATGACAACAGAGATGTTAAAGTGTCTGAGCTTCTTAAGAATTCGACACATATCTTGTTCTCTGTTCTTTAACAAAGGATGAGAGGCGAAATCATCTAAGATAAGAAGACATCTGTGAGGGTAAGTCTTCCAATCGTAAGATTGCAATTTCTTCGAAATGTATTCTATCTCTTTCTGTTTGTTTCTGAAGTGTTTCTTCTCTAATATTCTCTGCATTTCCTCATTAGGGTCTTTGAACTTAGAATTTATATACTCATTTATAGCATTATACTTCAAAACTCTTCTTTGGTACTTCTTTATCCAATCTAACAACTCAGTATCCTTTATACATACTAACTTAGACTTCTTTATAATATCTTTGAACGAATTGACGGTTTGGTCAAATTGACCAGAAGTCGAACAAATAACAACTAACTCATAGAATGGTTCTTCTCATCTAGTTCTTGTTGTTGTGCAGCCATTTTAAGATAAGTGAAAGTCTTACCCGACCCAGGTGGTGCAATTAGACCTGTTATACCATTCTGAGCAAATAAGAACTTGTCATGTATAGGCTTTATCTGAGCATTTTCTAACTTCCTCTTGTTCTTATTTAAAACATTCTCAAATTTCTTGTCAATGTCAGCAAACTTTTTTTCTAACATATTTTTAGAAAAATTAAAATTTTATCTTTTAGAAAATGTCTAGCGATTTCGCTATCTATATTCGAGACAAACTTTTTGACAGCAAACATCTGTCGACCATAAAATCTTACATAGTGTAAACAAGAAAGGTGAATTTGTTCTAAAGTTCTGTTTCTGGGAATATGACAAGAACCATAAAACATTAAGCAGAGCAGTCTTAAAATTTGTCAATGACAGACTTGTTGACAGAGATGACGCCTCTTGGAGAGATGAAGTCCAACAAAACTTCTTAGAATGCAAAGAAGACACATGCGCTGTTCTTGAAGATGAAATAGAAAACAGAATAGATGAGCTATTAAAGGACAAAGAACTTTTACATAAATATAGTTGCGCCAAATTTGACATAACTCCACCAGAAAAGAAGAAGAGAGAAAAAAAGAAAAGAAAGTAGAAGAAGAGAAGAAAGAACCTGAACCAGTTCCAGAGAAAAAGAAATTTGACATGTAAAAATAAAATTTTATTTTTAGAACATTTCTGGGTCAATGTCAATGTTCTCTTCCTCTTTAGGAGTAAACACTGGCTTAGACTCTAAAATCTTTTTACCCAATTTACCTTGAACTTCAACTATCTTAGACTCATAATATTCATAGTCGTCTGCTTTCTTTGGTTCATAAGGTATAACAAGTTTGTATGCTTTACCTTCTTCGAGTTTTGAGAACTTTCTGTCAAAACTTTCTTTGACTGTTAACAAACCTTCTATGTCTAAGTCTTCAAATTTCGCACCATTTTTAGTCACAATAGCAAACTTAACTGGTTCGATGTTCCAAACTTTGCTGAATGAAGACTTTTCAAAATGGTAGAAGTAAACATTCAAATATGTGAATGGGTCTAGTTCTTCTTTAAGTCCTGACATGTACTTGTTTACTGAGATGAATTTTGCCATCTTTTCTATCGGATAAAAAAATATTTTTTTTTAAAATTTACTCAGAAAAATTTTTCTTTGTATATACACCATTCTGAACATCTAAAAGACTTTTGACATTTGCCAAGAATGTTCGTTTAGAAGCTGCCATATAACCATATTCTTGACAATATTGTTTATACGAATCGTACAATGACCTTTCATCTAAACACTCAAAGTCAGTTTCATCTATGAACAGTTCATATACACTCTTGTTTGCTTCTAACAATGTTTGTCTCTCTTCGGTATGTGGAATTTGTCTTGGATTGAACTTAGAAATATCTAATGTCATAAAATATGAGAACAAGTGGTTGTAAAAGTCAGATGTCAAAGTTTCTGCTAAGTCGTCAAAATATTCTGTATCTTGCATATGAGAATCTGACGTTCTGACAACTACATATCTTCTGTCAGAACTTTCTAACTTCATCGGAACAACATTGTTTGAAACCATAATGAAGTTTGCAACATTTTCACAAACTCTTTGGTCTTTATATTTTCTTTCAACAACTCCAACTTTATCTGTTATAAGACTCTTCAAAGCATCTGAGTTCAAAACTTTTGTTGTATCTTACTTTGAAGTTCATTGCAAACTATAAGTTTCATATTCTCTATTGAGGAGTTAAATTTACCGCAGATGTTTTCTAAGTTTGTCATATTAGGGTTCGAATAACCTTCTAACAGTTTGCATAAGATATCTGTAAAGAATGTGTTCTTACCTGTTCCTTGTTTTCCAATTATAATGAGAGCAGTTTCATTTTTAGCACTTGGATGTTGTAAGATGTTTGCAAACCAACATAAGATATACTCATAAACCTTTTCGTTTCCATTGCATATAATTTCTTTGACATGGTCTAACCAAGCTTCTATAATATTTTCTTTCCATTCTACTTGTTCGTATTTATATCCAGTGAAGATAGAATAGAAGTTTGGAGAAGGTGTATAGAACTTATACCTCGAACTGAAAAATCTTCTAACTTTGACAATAAGATATCCCAAGCATCTAACATCTTCATTCCAACTTGTACAACTTTTATTTTCTTAAGTTTCTGTCTACATTCTTGTTCAGACACTATTGTTGCTCTTGGTTTGTTAAAGACAATATCCCATTCTTTCATGACATAACATTCTGGGGCAGAGTCAACATAAATGACTAAACGTTTCAAATTCTCGACTGCTTTGTTATAGTCTCTAAATGGACACATATTTCTGAATGCTTGGAAGTCATAAAAATCTGAAACATCTATTCTGTACATTTTATAAAAATAAAAAAAATATTATTTTTTATTCTTGACTTTGTTGTTGCATTTGTTGCATTTGTTGTTCTTGAGCTATTTGTTGTTGAAGTTGTTCTTGTAATACAATACTTTCACCAGTTGCATCTTCCAATTCGAAACTTTCTGCCGTCATTGACAAATACATAGGACATAAAAGTTTTACAGGAACAAAGTTTGCGTCAACTAATGTCAACGTTATACTTGCCAAAGTGTTTGAGTTCACTAAGGTTGAAAATTCTGCATTCGAATGAACAATAGGCAAACCAGCAGAGAAAGTATTGTTTATACGCATAAGTATCTTTTGGTCATAATAGTTTCTGTCGACATTCGAATAACACTTTGAACCTAAGTTTGAAACAATATATAAGATTGGTGTGCTTAATGTCAATGGAATAGACATTCCTTGTATGACACCTTTTCCTGTTATAGGAAACTGTTGGTAGTAAAAACCAGAAATAAGTTTTGTATTATAGCTCATATCGTTTATAGTAAACTCAGTCGGACATCCAAACATAATGAAACCTGCTCTAGTTGCAGCACATGTTACACCCGTACTTAAAGTATTAAATAAGTCAACAAAACCTGTTGGTGGTATATCTGAGTAAGTATCTTCAAAGGAGTATTTTTTACCATTCACAACAATAAAGTCTTCTGGTGTCAAAAGAGCAAAACAGGCTTTAGTCGTCATTGTGTTTAAGGTTAGTTTACAATATCGTCCTTGAGGACTTTGTAAGTTTGTTGTTATAGAATTATATGACTCAGGGTTTTTAGTCGTAATAGTATAAACCATTATGTCTTCTGCCATTTATATATATTTAAAAGTTTTTCTGAAAGTGGAGAAGAACTTCATCTAAACTTTCACACGGCGTTTCTTGAAGTTCTCTGTCTAAGAAGTTCAAATATTTTGTAAAGACATAGAACTTTCCTTTGTCTACACGAACAAACAAAACAGGGTCTTTCATATCGTTCAAAAGTGTGTAAAGTCCTTTACATGAAATAAAGTCTATATTATTTTTCTTCAAACATCTTTCAAGAAGTTTTGACATTTTTACTTAGCAAATAAACTTTAATGAAATGTTGTGGTCGTCAAATATTTTATAACGTCTGGGAAACTATATTTTAAGTTCAACGTTTCACCTCCTTTCATAACGTATATCTTGTCAATGACATTATATGAAACACCACAGCAACTAATGTCGGGTTCTATTTCTTTGATGTTTATATCGTCTGCCTCTGTCAAAAGTTTCAATAGTTCTTTCAAAACTTCATGAGGTGCAATGACATATTGAGTTCACTTTTACAGGGTTGTGTTCGACCAAGTTTAACATTATACTTAAAGCTTGACAAATCTTCTCCTGAGTTTGAAGTTTGTCTTTCAGTTGTTGGTAGTCGTTTCGAATATCTGCAACAGAACTTAAGTCTCTGCTAACTTCAGGATATGTTGGTTCTTTTACAGGAACAATTGTTATACCATCTTCGTCTTCGTATGGTTTCCCCACTTCAACATCTCTGTTTTTGACATTGACAACAACACTTTGACTGTTTGTTTGAGTTGGTGAATTTAACTTCACATCTGCCACCGCCATTAAACCTTTTGAAACACTTACGCTTCTATTTTTCGGAAATGACATTTTACTTAGAATAAAAAGATGGACGTATTCGGATATCTCTTCGAATTGAAGCAAAACAAGGTTTATACTCACAAACAATACAAATACATTGACAGAATAGTTCTTTACACAAACAATGGAAAATGTTATAGAATAGCAGTCTTTGCTGAACCAAAATATTTTCATAAAGCAAAGAAAGTTGGTATAACTGAAATGGTGAAAGTTCTTGAAGCAGACAAAAATATAACTTCAAAACTGACCGATATTACTAAAGGAAAGTTTATAATACAATATATATGTCAAAACTGGCGTACTGTCAATATTTGACGGAGAGAAGTCAGTTCAAGAACAACTTACTGACCTGCTGCCAAAATCTGCTCGATGGAAGCTGTCGTTATGCCAATCTGAGGAGCCCCAGCAGGTTTCATCGAACGAATCTTCAAAAGAGCATCTTCCGTGAAAAGTGCTATTGGTTTTGTAAACTTCTTTGCTTTCAATTCATCTGGACCGTCTCTGTCACCAGTATATTGTATTTGAACTGTACCAACAGTTGAAATACCACCCATAAAGTCTTCTGAGTCAGCAAATGGAATGCCAAGCCAAAAGTTTGAACGGTCTCCATTTGTATATTGAGTTTTTTGACCTCCTGTATGAGTCCATACTTTCACATATGGCATAATAGAACTTTGCATTTCAGGGTTAATGGTTGTTGTGAAGTTTGTTAAAGTTCATAGCATCTAATGTCAAGTTGTATGACCTCATATCCTCAACTGTAGAATATTCTTCTCTTGGATAATATTTGCCATCTATGTTTATATGATATTTAATACCAGGGTTGTAGAAACAAGAATAGTCATTTATAGTTCGTCTGAACAGTACAAACATAGTATCTGCATGTTTCATTGCAGTTGTTAAAGCAATATCTGTTCTTGCACCTGGGTCAGCACTTTGGTTTCCAACTTCACCTGCAAAGTCTTTGACAGATATTTGGTGTATAGGGAACATAAGTGGAACTGCAATATATTTGGCAGCTAAAGCATTTGAAATATCTGGGTCCAACATATAGACTGCAAGTCTGCTTTCTATTCTCTTGCATTCAAATTTTTCGCATGTGAACTTAACTGGGTCCCAAGCAGTTCCAGCAGCATTGAAATAATAGTTTACTTCAGTGTTGAAGTTTGAGAAACCAAAGTCTAAGTCAACTTTGTCTTTGCAAAAGTCGGCGAATGACGTTTTATTTGTTCCCATTACGTCTGTAAGAGTGAATGGGTCTTGTGTTGGTGCAATGACTAAGTTATTTTTGCTTGGAGTAAGTTCGATAGAAATTTTTCCTGCCCAGTTTGGCAAGTATCTTAAAAACCTGAAGATGAGGAAAGATGACAAAGGAACTCTGAGTTTCAGTTTTACTTTAGTGGCAGCAGTTCCATCTGAACCAGAAAGGTTAACATAAACTCCTGGAACGTTAGGGTCAAGTCTTCTTATTTTCTCAATAGTTGCATACTGGTCTGTTTGTTCTCTAGCTTGTGGTTGTACTGAGTTTCTCAAAGCGAACCATTCATAGTTTGCCCATGTTACTGTTTGAACTAAGTCAGAGTTAGAATATATCTTATATCCCATGAAAACTTCTGGAGCATATTGGTATCCGACATAGAAAATTCCATTGCAACCTTTCTTGTCAGACAACTTGGCAGAAGGTTTTATTTCAATGTCTTGTTCCACGTATAAGAATGAGTTGTCAATAGAAATAATATGAAACCTGTCGCAAGCAATATCTACTGTTGTTGAAGAACCTTCTCCAAACTCACCTACGTTTCCATAAGAAACAGCAGTGTATATTCGTAACCCTATTTCTGACCTTCTAATGGCATTGTCGCATTCGTTATACCATTCGGAAACATTTCCGTTCATGGCATCCAAAACTGTTGGCGTTATATTCTGAGCGGCGTACATTTCATATGGGTAAAAATATAGAATAGTTGGATTTATATGTCATAATTGTTTCGGACTAAGCTTTACTTTCTTCCTGACTGAATCTTTAACTCTTCTTTTTCCTTCATTGCCACTACTTTCACTAGATGAAGTTACTTCTTCACTACTTTCACTTTGTTCTACTCTTCTTCTTTGGTGTCGCTTTTGGTAACTTGCCCTCTGCTTCAAGTTGTTGCATCTTTGCCTCATGTTCACCTAGTATGTTGTAAATTTCCCATGTCCTTTTTGCCTTTGGGCTCTGGTCGCCCATCTCAGGTAACCTATATCCTAGAAAGATTTTGTCATAGTTTGTATTTGAGTCTTCGCGTATTGTTTGCATGACTCTTTCCTGAGTTTCCGGTTCAAGCTCTTCAAACAGAGCTTGTCCATATGGAATAAGCTCGTTTCCAAATATATGTTTTTGTAGCCATTCTGGTTTTCTTTCCATGTTACCAATAATATCTTTTGTGAATGGGAAAGCTTTACCCAATGTTTCAGTCTTGCGTCATTTATTTCTGTAGTTTCCAAAGGAGGGACATGTTCGTTTCCTTCAGGCTCTTCTAGCTGTTGTTGCTGAACTATTTCTTCCATGTCTGGTTGTATCTGAACTTCTTCCTGTTGAGTTTCTTGTACCTCATCTGGTGGTATATAAGTTCCACCAGCTGGCACATATGTTCCATCTGCAGCATAATGTCCTACCTGACTTTTCGTTCTTAAGAAAGCATTTACTAGGTCTGTTTTGGTCTGTTGTAACTCTTTTTCTTGACTTTCCACAACAGTTGCTCTAACGGCGTCATAGGCACTTTGAACTGCCTGTCTCGTTGCTGCATCTGTTATTTTCGTCATATTTTGTGCTACTTCTCTTAACTCTTTGTCGAAACCTTCAGACTTCAGTTTCTTTCCAGATGAGAAGTCGTTCACTAGTTTCACCTTACTATGAAGAGCTTCGAAGGCATTCTTAAAGTCAGCATTCATTAAAGCTTCATTTGAACTGTCTTCATCCGCTTGTATTTTTGTCCTTATTGACCCTATAAGTTGGGCTGCTTTAGCGTTGGCTTGGGCATCTAACCAGTCATTATTAGCTTTTATATATTCTGCGCTTTTCATTGCCTTTTGCATGGCTGCGTCGTTATTTTTACTTTCTTGTGCTAAGTTTTCATACTGTACGGTTTGGTTTTGCAACTGTAAAAGTTTTTCTGCCTTTACATTTGCTTCAACTTCTTTTTTATACTCATCGCTATCCATATATGTCTTCAGGGCTTTTTGTTTTATCTCTTCAGCTTTCAGTACTTTATATTGAGTAGTATGGTTTTTCAAATTTATAACATCTTGTTCCATTTTTGCTACTTCTGCTGCTTTTTCTGACACTTTTTTCGCATATTCCTCTGTACTTAGTTCTTTCAGTTGTTCTTCTTTCTTCTTTTTCTCTATGTTTAACTCATTGAGTTTCTTTGTCTGTCTGTCATATTCTAGTTTCTTTTCGTTTTCACTTATTTGTTTCTGTATGTCTATGTTTGACTTTTTGACATCTGTTATTTGATTTTTGAGTGAACTCAAATTCATTTGACTTTGAGGGTTATAAGCTGTTCCGTCTGCAGCTCCACCATAGCCTGCCATTTTCGCTAAAAGTGCCGCTCTTAAACCTCCACTCTGTGCACCAATAACTCGGTTTAAAAGCATAGGGTTGCTTGACATTTGTTGCAACATAGTGGGGTCATTCATCATTTGTTGTTGCAACTGTTGTTGTGGTGTCAGTTTTACTATTGGATGTTTCAATGCTCCCTTCCTCTTACGTATATTCTTACGTAGCTTACGTGGCATTTTAAGTGAAGTAAAAAACGGTTTTTGTAGTTTAAAACATGCGGCTGTCACTTTTTTGTTTGCATATAGGTCAGGTAAGTGGGGCCTCCAGGCACTTCGTGCCCTCTAGCCCTGAAGATGAAACAGAAATGGTTTCACCGGGGACTAATACCAAGTTTCCTTCCCAGTAGTCTTGACCATTGCTAAAGAATATGCAAACCAATTCTTCGAATACAATTTCTTGTCCACTTTTGCGTTGGAAAATGACTCTTACACGGTCACCTGGAATGACTCCATCTTTTTCGTTGTCTTCATTCTGTAACGAAATAGTACGAACGAGGAAATGGTTGACAATTTCAACTTGGAATTCGCAAGGAGTTGTGCGAAAAACCCAGCCAACATTTTCGGCTCCGTACTCGTCAACTAGTTTCGGCGACAGTCCAATTCGAACAAATTTGTTCGAATTCAATTCAATATGCAGACGAACTTGTCCGCTATTGTCCCACTCTTGTAAGAGTACTTCAAGAACGACTCTTCAACCAGTTGCTTCCTACCTTACGCAGCCCAATTTAAATTCAATTTGCCCGTGCAGCCATAAACTTCACTCCGTACTCGTACAGCTATGACGAGGATGAACTAGTTGACGAGTACGGAGCCGAAAATGTTGGCTGGGTTTTTCGCACAACTCCTTGCGAATTCCAAGTTGAAATTGTCAACCATTTCCTCGTTCGTACTATTTCGTTACAGAATGAAGACAACGAAAAAGATGGAGTCATTCCAGGTGACCGTGTAAGAGTCATTTTCCAACGCAAAAGTGGACAAGAAATTGTATTCGAAGAATTGGTTTGCATATTCTTTAGCAATGGTCAAGACTACTGGGAAGGAAACTTGGTATTAGTCCCCGGTGAAACCATTTCTGTTTCATCTTCAGGGCTAGAGGGCACGAAGTGCCTGGAGGCCCCACTTACCTGACCTATATTCATAAAGATTTTCCAAAAATATGATACCGCAAAATTAAAAAAGTGACGTCTTGAGTGGAGTCAAAGGTCGAAATTGCTAGCTAAATGTTTTTTTAGCGAAATTGCGTATTGTACGTTTTTTTCGCAAAACGAAACCCTTACTTCAACTTTCTCATTTTCAATATAATTACAAAAACAAACTTGTAGAAAAAGAGTAGTTTAGTGCTGAGTTAAAAAAGAGTGCTGGAAATCTCGCCAAATCTGACATTTGTAAAGTTTCATATCTGACACTTTGTAAAGGGTCCAAGTTGTCAGATTCGACATTGGCGCCAAAATAAAAAAAAGTGGGTTTCATCACGGTTAGAAAAAGTGTGTTTCCAGAAATATTGCCATGCAATAGAAATTTTTGAAAAGTGCAATATAAAAAGATTTGTTCAATTTAGTGTATACCAAGAAACAAAAATAATGGGGGAAAAAAATCGAATAAATTTAATTTTTTACTTTGGAATAAAGTGTTGCGCTGGTGGTCCAAGTCCAAAATCTATATTTTGCGCTTGCAACATAGAGTTGGATTTATAATTCCTATGAATAATGTTTCTGAGTTCTTCGACTTCAATTCGGAGTTGGCGGATTTCATCTAAGATGCCTTTAAGTTTCTGATCGTCTCTAGAATCAGATTTTGTAAATGATAGTAAAAATAAGAAAATAAGAATCATTTTGAATGAACTTATATATTTTTGAATATGTTCAGAAAAAGTTTATCAGACTCAAGAAAAAAAAAGGTTAAGTACATCAGACTCAGATAAGTAAGGATGAGCACAATAAAATATAATATATTATTAGCAGGATTATTTAGTTCAAGGTGTAGTTTTTCTAATTTTCCAGATTGTAATTTTCCACTTAGCTACTTATATTTGATAATCTCAATTTTAGTTTCAATTCCTTATTCATATGTATTAACAGTAACTCTTAGACAAGAAAGGCTTTTGTACTTCAAAAAAAGAGATAAATGCGTTATTTTTTGTACAATTTCTTTAATTAATAATTTATTTTTTGCAATAATATACTGTTCATTGACACATGCTTTCATAAATTTCGGCTTTTCATATATGAATGTGTTGCAATTGACTATAAGGCTTCTTCAAGCTTTTTGTTTTGCATTGACTTTCTCTGAAATCGCAAAAATATTAACAATTTTCCGCCTAAAAGGATCGAAGATCATTTATTATCTTACAATTAGCTTAATAATTCTAATAGGAGTTCTTTCTTTTTTAGTTTATATTAATTATTTCATTTCATATGATAGCAAATTTTTCTTATACCTTAACAAGATCATTCAAAGCAAACTAATTATTTATCATACCATTATTATCATTTATATCATAAGTTTTGCAACTCTCTCTATAGCTTTTATATTCTCAAATATCAAAAATTTTATTGAACCAGAACGTAGAAATACGCTTAACATTACATTATTTTTGATGCCAATTCCATTATTTCTATACATCATTCAGTTCTATATTTATGGCTCTATTTACTGGAGATCTAAATATTATTATATATTTAAATCTACTCAATATATTGATGATTTCCCAAAATACAAATCAAAATATTTCTATTTTCTTTGGGCATATTCATCATTTTATTTTGGATTAATGAATCTTATTCCTCTTGCAATCTTAAATATTCTGTCAGGTCAAACAGATGATAATCAAGAATCAGAAAAAAGTTCAGAAAATACCATAAATTCCGATATTACCATTTCCATTTAGAGATGTAACAACATACAATTCATTCAAGAAAAATGTGTTTGAATTTTTCACATTTAAAATTATAATTACCCAAACTTACACGATCACATTTTACTACATTGAAAGTTTAATCAAGACCGATTAATTATTGTTATTTATACTAGGCAACTTTTTTTTATTTCAGGACGGGTTTGAATCCATACAGTATATTGGATTCAATATATTTATCATCGAATCTTGCAGGTGAATCTTTGGCATTATGCATGTTATTCCGCTTTCTCTCCTGAATATTCTTTCAGTGAAGAAAGATTTAACTCAAAATAGAGAAAAGCTCAGAAAACATGATCAATATATCTGTTTCAATTTAGATAATACAATTGAAATTTGCCATAGATACGCAAGGATATGATTAAAATTATTGTTCAATTTCTTTTTGAATAATTATTATACATGCATCAAGAAATACAAAATCATTGATATAAATTATTCGTATGCTATTTGAAAATGGTAGTTTAGATAGAATGAGTTATTTTATCATCCATTTTCAAAACAAATTGATAAAAATATTGATCATTAATTGATATCGATTTAGTTTCATTTTAATTTATATTTGGTAATATATATGAAGTTGATAATTCAATTCTTAATTAGCTCGATTACCAAAAGGTACACGAGAAATAAACATTGATTATCCGAAACTTTTTAAAGATTTATGATTACCTATGTTATTCAAAAAAGCTATTAACACAAGTATAGCAACGAACTTATTGCTTTATTATATTCAAATGCAAAGATTTTAATAATTATTTGCAAAGGAATGATTAACAAATATTTTTTATAGCGACAGCTTTGCTATCCATTCGATATGTTTTTCGCAGCACTTCACTTTGAATCAAACAAATAAACTATTTCAAATCACAATGAAATCATATAAGTATTGAAATTACTTATTAAAAAGTTTATTAAAAAAGTAACTAATTTTTTTATTTAAATTATTATCTCCCCTAGCTTCTTTTCTACATACATGTGTCACCCACTGGTCTATGCTTGTCAGGTAAACAACCAGCCTGAGAGTTATCAGGAATAGAATTCTCTCCAATGATGTTTCTTAGTTCTTCAACTTCAATTCGGAGTTTGCGAAATTCATCTAAGATATCTTTTAGCTTCTGATCATCTTTTGATTGTAATTTTAATAATGAAAGCAAAAATAAGAGTATGAAAATCATCAAATTTGCTCAAATATTATTTAAAATTTTGAATGATATCAGAAAAAGTTGGGGTATTATTATTGTCGTCTGGCGGTTTTAGACGACAATGCGAATTTTCAAATAATAGGATTTTTAGCCAGATAAAGAGCTACTCCATATATCATGCGTGTTTGCATACTATATACATAGATGGAATTGATGTTCTTCCTTTATTTAGGTACCGAAACATGCTTGAAAAATCTATTTTTTAGACGACAATGATAATTTTGTCACTTTTCCAGACGACAATAATAATTTGTCACCTTTTTAGACGACAATAATAATTTTGTCACTTTTTCCAGACGACAATAATAATTTGTCACCTTTTTAGACGACAATAATAATTTTGTCACTTTTCCAGACGACAATAATAATTTGTCACCTTTTTAGACGACAATAATAATTTTGTCACTTTTCCAGACGACAATAATAATTTGTCACCTTTTTAGACGACAATAATAATTTTGTCACTTTTTCCAGACGACAATAAAACATCCTCGAAAAAGTTGAATCAGAATTCATTCATTTTTTATAATTAAATCTGCGCATTAAGAATGAGTCAGATCGGAGTAAGTATATTAATTGCTGGTATAGTTAACACTAAATGCAGCTTTACTAATTTTCCAGAATGCGATTTCTATCTGAGTTATATATTTTTAATTATCTCTATATTGATAACAATCCCTTATTCATATATACTAACGTTAACATTAAGACAAACAAATTTTCTCTATTGCAAAAATCGAGATAAGTGTGTTGTTTTTTGTATTATCACAATGATTAGTAATTTGATTTTATCAATCATGTACTGTTCATTAACACATATTTTTATGCACTTCGGTTCATCATATATGGATGTATTATTTCTAACTATCAGGTTTCTACAAACATTATGTTTTGCTCTATATTTCTCTGAAATTTCCAAAATTTTAACCATTTTCCAAATAAAAGGATCGAAAATTATTTATTATATTACAACTACACTAATCATTAAAAAAAAAAAAAAAAAGGGTAGTGGGGCTTCCAGGCACTTCGTGCCTTCTAGCCCTGATGTTGATGTTTAGTATAAATGAAGTTTTTATTCGGAGGACTCTTCTTCTTCCTCCATTGCTTCTGGGAAGAAGCCTTCTTCTGGGTCGAAAACATTATATAATGTGTCGCTTTTCACAAATTATATATGTTTTCATGTTTTGTCACTTTTCTGTCACTTTTCAGGGAAAAACATTTTTATTATTATATATAAATGAATTTTACAAAACCACCGTTACCGTTCTTTGGAAATAAGAGTAGATGTAAAGATATTATATTGAGAGAACTTAAGAAACTACCGAATGGTCTAACATTTGTAGATTTGTTCGGTGGAAGTTTCTATATATCCCATTTGTGCCATATAATATTCCCAGACTCAAAGATTATATGCAATGACTTCGACAACTATATGGACCGTCTCAAACATATTCCAGACACAAACAACATATTGAAAGAGTTAAAAGAAAAGATACCTATAGGTAAGATGGAACGTATACCATTAGATAACAAAAATATTGTGAGAGAGTTTTGAAAAAAGCAGAATATATAGACTGGGATAGTATATCTGCTAGACTATTATATAGTGGTGCTATAAGAGTTCATGACATTGAAACACTTATGTCAAAAGTTTTATATCTTAACTATACAAATGTTTTCAAAGAGGACATAGAAAAATATATTGAGGGTATAGAGTTTGTGAGATGTCATTGGACAGATTTGTATGAAAAATATAAAGACAAGGAAAATGTTTTCTTTATAGTGGACCCGCCGTTCTATAACACATGGATTTTCAATACCAAGTAGACTGGACTTTGAGAGACTCTTTAGAAACTTTAGACGTTTACATAACCATCCATGCTTTACTTTACATCCGATAAAAGTGGTTTGGAAACCGTTATGAGATGGTTAGAGGACATACATGACTATGAGTTTATATATGACAAGATAGAATATGAGAGAGGTTCCTATAAACTGGAGAAAGTGTCATAACAAAGAAATTTATTAGTAAGTAAATGTGGTTTGAAATCGGACTACTTGTTTTAGGTTTTTTCCATTGTGTCATTTATTTATTTGACGTGGCAGAAAAGTACAGAGAATATGAAGATGAACCAATGCCTGCAAATGTTCAGTATATGTACTCGTAAGAGATATTTTATCTAATATTAAATGGACGCACAGAACTTAGCGAATGCACAGCAACCTGGACAACCAAACCCAGAGAATATTCCAAATGAAGTTAGAATACAAACTGCAATGGCAAACTATGGTCAAGTGCCAACAGATGTACAAATGCAAACTGCCATGTCAAATGACGCTGCGTTAGGTTTGCCACCATGGTATGCAAATATGAGATGGAAAGAGTTTTATACAAACCCTGAAGTGGGATATAAACAACTTTATGCAGATGACGCGAACACAGGAGTTGACCCAGAATATGTTTCTACCAGAGGAGAAACAGAATGTATGAGCTCCAGTTAAAGAATGCTATGGAACTCAACAGGAAACGTAAGAGACTAGGCGGACATTAGATTTTTACATATAGTAAAATGGGTTTCTTCAGTAGTATTGGAAACTTCTTTCGAAATGTTGGAAGAGGTATATGGAATGGAATAAAAACCGTAGGAAGAGGAATTTGGAACGGGTCAAAAATATTGGTAAAAGAGTAGGTCAGTTTGTTGGTATTATACC